AGTGGCAGACAAGGACAAGGAGGCTTGCATGGGAGAGATCCTCAAACTGAAGTCCCTGCTTAGCACCAAAAGGGAACAGATCGCCACTCTCAGAGCCGTGCTCAAGGCCAACAAGCAGGTCAGAAGACCACTCTGATTGTGTCTATATGTGAATGTGCATGCCTGCTGTGTATGTTTCTCAGAGGAAGGATGTTCATTGTTTCTCCAACTGACAAGTACGACAGAAATGAATATTCTGCTTCAGCTAAAAATAACCGCTGAGTGTAGACCTCACCAGTGTAAGAAATAAATAATGATATAAGATCTTATTCCCTTTAGACGGCTGAGGTTGCTCTGGCCAACCTGAAGAGTAAGTATGAGAGCGAGAAGGCCATGGTGACTGAGACAATAATGAAGCTCCGCAATGAACTCAAGGCTCTAAAAGAGGATGCTGCTACGTTCTCCTCTCTTCGAGCCATGTTTGCTACAAGGTACGAATATACATACTCCCTGGTTTACATTTCATTCTTGGCAAACATGAAATGAACCATCATGTGGCATCCTGGTGGCCAGCTGGTTGGGGGCTCAGACCAGAATGTATAACATCTGTTCTGTTTCAGTTACATATATCATATATATCACATATATACAGTGTGTGTCCTGCTAATAATTGCAATTTCCTAATAATGAAAAAGAAACGTTAAAACCTTTAAGTGCTTATTCTGCACAACTATTTTGTATGAGTGTCTGTATATGTGTGTGTGAGAAGCAAAGCATTATGGGAAACGTCTGATGTAATACTACCAGTCAGCTAGCAGAGACCTCATCCTCCCATCTGGAAAATGCAGTCTGAGGAATGGAGAAAACATGTGACGGCAGCTGCAGTTGAAGGCAAATTGCTCCACCTGCTGGAAATAATGTTAATCTCTAGTTTCTTTCTTTTTCCGTCTCTTGCACTCTTCTCTCTGCCTCTCCCATCTCTTTCTCTCAGGTGTGACGAGTATGTGACCCAGCTGGATGACATGCAAAGGCAGCTGTCTGCTGCGGAGGATGAGAAGAAGACCCTGAATTCTCTGTTACGTATGGCCATCCAGCAGAAACTGGCCTTAACCCAGCGCCTGGAGGACTTGGAGTTTGACCATGAGCAGGCGCGCCGCAGCAGTGCTACAGCGGTGGGAGGGAAGGGCAAAACAAAGGGCAAGGGAGCATCTTCTAACCATCATGTAAGTCAAAGGCTGCACTGCAGAACCAACTCTGAGCCATGTGCAAGGTTTTATGTGGCCTTTTTTAACTTCTATGTCATTCATTGCAAGATTTGCATCTCATGCAGACTTTGCATACACTCAACACTAAGCTCTGTTTCAGTAGCCATTATACCTCTAACACATAGACTATATGGCATACTAGTATTACTACTATTATTACTACTTAAAGTGGTCATGGTTTCTATTTTCAAAAACAACATATTTTGTCATACTGCACATTGCTGCAGCTCCTCTTTTCACCCTGTGTGTTGAAGGCTTTGTTTTAGCTTTGGAGTGATGCATCTCACCAATACAAGATCTTTGTTGGGAGTTCCGCATGCGCACTTCCTAGTTAAGGACTGGTAGCCAATCAGGAGCAGAGTAGGGCGGGTCCTGAGGCAAACACGGCTTCGGTTCAGCTGTACATGTTCCCCTTACCAGCTTAGCAACATAGACTGGAGCAAGAGTTTCAGAGTGGTGAGTTATTAATCTGTAACAAATGTATCTTTCATACATTAAGTTTTAACTGAGCTCTGTCTCTACATCACAGTAACAACTTTATGTCCGTTGACTGCCTGGAGGGTAGCTCATGTTTGGAAGGGAGAGGAGAAACAGTGAGCGGACATCTTGTCACTGTGTGTGCTGCAGCTCAGTGTGTTTTTCCACCGGTGTATTTGCGTGTCGGACTAGTTGCTTGGCGAGTGTTATGATGCGTGTTTTGCTGTGTTGTCACAGGGATCAAAGGAAAAGGCTGGACTACAAACAAGTTCAGAGCAGTGTTTTTTGTGGATGATGGGAACTCCCTTTGGGCTGGACTTTGGGCTTTATCACTTTGCAAACCTATTACATGCACAAAAAGATACTCAATAAAGGAGAGGGAAAAAGCCGACCTCTTTAATACTGAAATTAAAACTCTTACTCTTATTCATTTTTTAGCATGACAAAGATTGTACTGAATAGTTATTTTAATAAAATGAATATACAGACTACTCAGTTGGCACAAGGAAGGCACAAATCCCCAAAGCATGGAGTGTAAGTTTAATTTTCCATGTGGTATTTATATCATTATTTGGCCTGAGAACCAAATGAAACTGGAAACCTATGTGCTAATTTTAATTCAACTGACATTTGCTTCCAGGCTGGCATCAAATACGCTGTGATGAGTATAAGCAGGTAGAATCTTTCACAGAAGGTACCAAGCTTTACTCCATGTTTGAGTTCTGTGACATGTTGTATGCTGTGTACAGGTGAGCTGTTTTGTGGGTAAAACTAGCCTGAAAACAGTTTCTCTAGAGTTGGCCAGAAACTATTTATTATACCGTTGTTACCATTTTATTATATGAGACATTAAAACAGAAATCTAACAAACTTTTCAGTTGCACGAACCTGGGAAGTTGTACTACAAATCTGCTAGCATATATGTAACCTACCTCTTTGTTTCTCTTTCAACATTAATTTTTATGTAACCCCAGTTCAGAAAGCAGCTTCTTTTACTCTTATTGGTCCAAAATAGCATGTGAGAGAAAAAACACGGTACCACTTTGAATTTAATTTAGGGTGATTACCAAAGATGAACCAAGAAACTGTTTTTACTTTAATATTCATGTGTTTCTATTATAAATAAGATGCTATTCTCTATTTTCTCTTTTCTGTATCAAATATATTAAAAGGAATTTTAAATGTCTGTGTCTGCATTAAAGAGTGAGATAAAACATTTACGTAACAGTTGGCTTTAGGTGACACAACACATTCCCTGTAATATCAGAGACTCTAACACTCCTCAGTCCTCTGCTTCCTGCAGCCATCTAACTTTCCTAACTGTTAACTTCATTGATATACTTCATCTCACTAATGCAGTGGAAATTGGAATTTCAACAATCAATCAATTTAATGTGATTTTCTTTATCTTTCCATTTGCAGTAAATCTATTATGCCAAGTGTCCTTAAGGAGGTCCGTCAAAGTGTCTGTGACAGTTGCCAATCATCTGTGGTCCTGGTTCCTTCACTATCTAATAATGGTCATCGCTAACACAAGAACATTTCAAACAGTATTTGCCAAGGGCCTTGTTTTAGAGTGCCAAAAACAAGTATGCACAATTCTGTTAAACATTTTGACTGCAGAAAGGATGACTCATCGCTTCATCTGCCCACTGTAGTCCCTAAGTCTTCCAACACTATGCACCACTATTATTACTGAACCAGAGGAGGAATAAAGATGGGTGTTTTGCTGATTACTCATTGCCTGTGTTACCCTGACTGAGCACTTTTTGTTTTACTTATTTGCTCTGAGGTGATTCCTCTTTCTTTCTAAAATCATACTAATTGTTTCAAGTATTATACAATGTGTTTACTGGATGTGTATGTTTATCTGCCAGATTGTTGACTACATTTTCAAGCGATTCACCATATTTTAGCCCTATTTATTCCCTATTTCATAGTAGTAAAAGCAGATATGTGGGAATTCTTTAAAAAACAGAACTTCAACTCACTAGTTGAAATCAAGCAAAAGAGACTTTTCTGCTGTAGTTTTTTTTCTTTTGGCCTTAGATTTAATGGTGCCTTACTGACAGCCCGTAGGAACAAGCTGTCGAGGTTATCAAGATTTTTCAATAACTATTTGTTTTTACCTTATGACCCTGAAAATATGGAGCTTCAAATTCAAGTATGCTTGTTATCACTAAGGAAGAGTATTAATACAAAGCTTATTTAAATATTTCTAAGTTAAGGTCAGATGTTAATAGTATTCATACACTTTATCATGAAGGAGAGTTTTTATTGTAATTGTTTTAAAACAGCTTTTTGTAAACCTTTTGAGTCCTAAAATGCATTATCTGCAAACAATAATCCTGCGGTGCCATGCTGTGTTTTGTTTATACAAGTGCAATTTGTAAAACATGGCAAGAGGAAGAAAATAAATGTTTATGCTATGTAAAAAAATATTTTACACATTGTTGCTCACATACTTGGTCCTAATTGATTTTGTATGTTTTTACTATTTCTGCAATTATATTTATTTGACACTGTTCAGACTACAGGATGTCATCATCCTTTTTTTTTCATAAGGGAGCTTGAGTGGAGGTGGCTGGTCAGAATATCTGTAAGACTGAACTTGTGGTAAATCACTAGCAAGATGCATGACTGTGGGCTACTGTCTCTGCTAAACCTTATGACTGGTGAAGAAATAAAGCTAACTTTCACAATACTGGGGGTCTTTGTTATTTTAGAAAATAGATTTACTAACAATTTTACAATAAAGCGTTTATTCTTTCACTGTTGAGAAATGAAAATCAAATATAAATTGGACTTATTACTTGCCACTAGTGAGTACAATATTGGTGGTTCTGTACAGTGGGTAGGTAGTGACTGTATATTGTTACTTTTTCTGAAACAGATCCATTCAGCATGGTGAATTTTTGTGCATACAGAAGTCTCAAATTATATAGAATATACTGTACAAATAAGCAATACACCAAATTTAGTCCTCAGATCTAACAATAATTTGAACTTTATGTCCATGACAACAAATAATTAAAAAAAGAAGTACAATTGTTCAAGGGACTCTCAAACAGCTGTTCAATTTACAGTAATGTACATACACTTTGTTGTTTAAAGTGATACACAGATAGATCAAATTCTGTTTCTTCTGCGTATCTGTATCAAAAACCTGATAAGGGTCAATTATAAAGTAAATTGCTTAGCGTATCCTTAATTTCCATTTCCGGTATAAAGGAAAGTTTTTTTCCCACTTTTTGGACGAAGACGTTGACGTAAGTCACTCCCTGCCTACGGGTTGACGTCAGAGGGCGTGGCCACACAAAGGACAGAGGGGACTCCACAATGGGAGGTTCGTGTATTTCTTTAACTAAAAATAGCGCTTATTTCACCATGTTTTTAACCTTCTGTTTAGTTTATTTAATGTCTTTCAAGCCACGAGCATTACCACGGCACTGACGACCTGAAAAGTTGCCTCGTTTTCACAAAGACAATGCAACGTCTGTCCTGTTGAGCTCTGAAAAGTTTCTTTACAACACTCTTGACAGGAGAAAGCGCCTTACTTTTCATTTCGCTGTCAACACACAATTAGTTGAATAAGTTTTTTCGCAGCATTCCCGATCCTCCGTGCCCTCATACGCCTCTGTTGCAACAGTTAGTACGAGGAAAGACGGGAGATATGTCTATGTACGGATATGTTACTGACGTCCCTTTCCAATGGTAGCCTATTATCAGACAGTGAATGGAAGCGTCTTGCTGGTTACACTAAATACACTAAACACTAGTCATTGTTTAAAACGTCTCTCTGTTGACATGCACAGACAGTTTTCATGAGCAGCTGATAGAGGACAGCGCCTTCCTCAGAGCTGACCGGAGACTTGACACGGAGCTGGTGGACAAACTCATTCTGCAGCTCAACAGAATCTACCCGCAGATCCTCACAGACAAGGAGGCCACCAAAGTAAGTCCTCATGCACAAAGTACTTATCTGTCTTGGTCGCATACAGGCAGTGATGGAAAAAAGAGATGAAGTAAAAGCAATACCACACCACACGGTAAAAATACTCCGTTTTAAGTAAAAGGTCTGCATTAAAAATCTTTTTCACAGGTGTGGCTACTTGCAAAATGTGCTAAAGTATCAAAACTAAAAGTATTCATCATAGATGAATGAGCCATGTCCTATATTATATGGTGTTTATTTGTAAGAAGCATGTAATGCAGCAGTAGCTGTATATGTGTTGTAGTTTAATCTATAATGTAGGTTTACTATGCAAAAACTTGAAAAGGGAACATTTCCGTTTGGGGACCAAAAATATCCCATAATAACTGTTGTTATTGTTATCCAGTTCCGAAACTTGGACGTGCCCACAAGTGTTCAGTTGGGTGAGCTCCTGACACACCTGCAGGAGAAAGGAGAGGAAGCCTGCAGGGAGTTTTACAGAGCCCTTCACCTGCATGTAGAGGAGGTATACTTCAGCTTGCCCACACGGCTCCGCCTCAGAGGTCAGTCCCCAAATCCTGCTTCTCTAAATCATGTGTAATCCCAGTGAGATACTCATTTATTATTTGGACGTAACAGAATGGATTATACATATTAAGTTATGTTTTCTAGTATAGTCTACATTTTAGTCCACACAATAAAAGGTATCTGTCCTGCCTCCAGATTCCTTAGATCCGCTCAAATATCGACGTGTCTACCACCAGAGATATGTTCTGAATGACAGAGGTAAGATGTTCATGTAAAAGAATGCATGTCAATGGGTGTGCATTGTTGCAGGCAGTGTTAATGTTCAAATGATTAAACTACTATTCTTAAATGATTCAGATTCACTCAGATCAGATCAGATTCAGATGTAAGGCAGCAACATCATAAAATAGTCAGTAGATGATTTAGTGATGACCTTCAAAAAAATCACAAAATAAGGAACAGCCAGAACAGCCACTTTTTAAAAATGAATTACATTTACGTTGTTGTGATGTGTTTACCTCTTTCCAGGTCCCCTCTTCTTTCTGGGTTGTTTCAGCGTCGCAGTGGGAATGGCTTTGCTCTATTACTACAGTGGTAAGTAGCTTTTTCCAGTTTTCCGCCTATTGACTGGTATATTATATGTATAAATCAACTTTAGTGCATGCATGCTCCTGAAAATATTCTACTTCATGCTGTTAATTCAGTGTTACTAAGAAGGAGTCTTTGTTCTGCAGAGGCTAAAGTGACGGGAGGTAGCCGGGCCCTTGGGATGGCTACTCTGGGTTTGCAAAGAAAGGCTCAGGAGGTTCTCATATGGTACACTGAAGAAAGCCTCATGAAGTGAATGAAGTGATGAAGGGGTGACTCCCTCACACCAGGTGCTTCCCCAGAGCTGCTCTTATGAAAGCTACTTATACCAAAGCACAGCACAATATATCTTTTCCCAAGAGTTGAATACTAATTTTGTACACAGTTGTATATATTGTTTTGCTTGTGATCTGAAATGGGAAAGACAGAGCAAATTCATAGTTACATTTGGCACAATGCTCTTATTTCCTTATATGCTGATACCTATTTAAGTGGGTTAAAGGGATCGTATACTTTAGAGGGATAATCACAGAGATCAAAAGCAAGCTCATTAAACAAGGTGTTTGCTACAGTCTTCAAATGTGGCATAAAGCAGCTTTTACAAACCAATTAAACGAGAAAAACTGACTGCATTAGTGACAAAATGTTGCTAAAATAACAAAATATTGAAACTTGGTGTTACATTATTAACTATATAGGATCAGCCTACAATATAAAGCAACAACCTTCAACGTATTTGCTTAATTACACTTTGGTGTGAAAACTCATATCAACATTTTTCAACATTTTATTTTTGCTCAGACAGCACTTCTTTGCCATGTGCATTTATTTGGGTAATTTGAGAATTACTCTTTCTTTTCTGCTCAGTTATCCCCCAACTCAGAAACGAGGATTAGTGTCAGCGGGTACAATCAATGGTGCAGTCCATGACACCCAGCTCTTTGTAGAACATAACCGCCCTCTTGTGGACAAAAGTGACTTCACCAAACACAGTCCGGCTTCTGTTGGTTTCGTAAGAGCTTCCCGAAATTTTGCTGCTCACAGTTAGACAAAAAGGAGATACTCATGTGAACAGGCAGGAATACTGTGGAGCGATGTCCGTATGGTTACTTCAGACGCGTTTATAGCATAGACTGTATTTAAAAAGGTTTATAGTGAATTTTGCCATCACGTGATTTCTTCTACCAATGATGTCCCGCTCTACCAGCGCAGTGCATCTTGGGTAGATGAACGACTAAAGCAAAATGTACAAATGTCAATTGAAGAATGGTAATAATGAAGGGTAAACCCAGATTAGTGTGTTTGAAATAGAACAAACAGGAGATTTGTTCAGCTGTATCTGTAATGCCAATACACCGGAAATTGCACCATGAGTGAAACCAAGTATTGTAAGTCAGTATATATAATGTGACGCGTTGCTTCATGTAGTCGTGTTGTATGAAAGGAGAGAAGGTTAGCACTCCCCTTGACAAGGATGGAATTGGTCCCTGTGGCCATCAACACACATACGGTTAAGGCACTGCCACTTACTTCGTGGCATCTCTAACCACATTTTTTCATCTTTGAAATCCATACACACACACGCGCGCACATAGTTTGTGTGAAACAATGCCGTACTCCCTTCATTTCTTATTCACGGCTCCTGTTTTCACCGTAAGTGCAGACCGGAAACATGCCAGAATATTTCCTCCTCTCTTTGTTCCGCGGGGTCGGACAGGATGGAAACTTATTTTTATATTTTTCCTGTTGGCTTACATTAACGTTGGCTCGGTCTGTTGTCTATCGCATAGAAGAAATAGTAGAAGAGGGTTTAAGTAAATGTCCCACCCCAGCCATTTATACATAATATAGTTTTAGTTCTTACTGTGCCTTTTTGACCACTAGGTCTATATTGAGACGTTTCTAATAAGCCTATTTTAAATGTGTCTGGCAGTAAATTAATTTAACCATAAAATGACAGGCATATACAATTTGATAGTTTTACTCAGGCTGTTTGTAAACAGTTTCTTTTATATGTATCATAGAGCGCATAACAATTACTATCATGATAGTGCTTTTGTTAAACTGTATTTCTTTGTGGTATGGTGGTTAAACTTCAGCACATCTGATGCCAATACCAGAAAACATTTATGCAACTTGCATGGTTTGTTGTTATTCCTTGTACTCAACACTTTTGTAATATTGTTCTATCAAGGAAATATTGATATTTCTCATGGTTGTCAATTAACGTCTCCTCATTGAGGTCCAGTGCCTGACATTTAGTCACATTCTGTGTGTACTGTCATGTAAAAATGCCTTAAATTTACAAGTGCCATCATTTGTAGGATTGAGACTTTTGTCTTTGTACAATTAAAAAAACATTGCATGATATGAATAAACAGGACAGAAAACACATCTTGTCATGTTTGTAGTTTTTATTTATAAAATATCATTTAAAATTGTTGTCACAGTGTATACTACAAGATTTATAGTAGAAGCTGTGACAATTTTTGGTCCGTTAAAAAAAGTGATTTAAAAAAAGCCCGTTAGTGATCACATACACTATATAAACACTTGTAGACATAAACTAATATATACAGGTAAAACTTTACACACTAGACTTTGCATAGCACTTAAACAAAGCATGTAAGGTCCACTTAACTAATCAGTTGTAAACAGAAAATCTGGCCTCATAATAAGGCTTTTTTATCATGTAATGCCACATGAGCAGCAGAAGGCCAAGGTGGCTCCTGGCACTTACTACTAAGACTTTCATTTGGATTTTGCTTTGGTGATCAAGTTTTTTTTGTAGGCATACATTCGGATTAGACTGCAGGTACTGACACATTTCAAACTTAACAATAACAGCAGGATGTCTTTTTTTTTTCAGGAAATATTCACAATGGTTGTGACTGACATACAGTATGTTGCTCCCGATACATTTGCTTGATAAGTAAAGGCAACCGTTTATATGCATCAGTCCTGAGTACAAGAAGAGGTAACAAACTGGTGAATACCCACATGAAATGGAAGCTGACTGCACATTTGTCCATAGCTATGGTCAGATAAGGGAACCCCTCTAACACACACACACACACACACACACACACACACACATCATCACCGGGTGGGTATCAAGTGACAAGCCTGGGAGGTTGAATTACAGAATGGCAAATGCACCTGCATGCCATTTAGTTTGGTGAATAAATATACGTCCGGTCCATTTTCACAAATCATGTGGAGGTGCATCTTTACTAAGTTCATCAGCCGGCATGGAGAGTCATCTAAAGGGTGATCAAGCACTTGGGTTGGGTCGCTGGACACCAAAGGCTGTGATGAAGACGTTGACCACGACTATGATGAAGACGAAGGCTGTGGCGAAATTCTCCATAATGTTCAACTTGAAGTGCATGCTTTCATCATTCAGGTTCCACTTAACTGTCAAAAGAGAAATGAAACATGGAGACATCACTCTTGAGAGCACAATTTTGCTTTGTCAGCAGGAATATCCTCCATTGCCCAGAAAGGTGAAGCACAGAGTTTTCTGCCACATCAGCGGTGAAGTAATCATTACTGAGAAATACTGCACTGTGATCTAAACAGCATCTGACTGCACTGCCTTCAGGTGAATAATTAGCTTCTTGCTTCACTGGGACATTACATGCCTTGCTGGTCTAAAAAGAGAATATTTAAAGGAAAGTCCCTGGCCATTTTAGTGTTGCCAAATCTATGACTTTTTTTCCCCAAAAGCTTTTTAAAACTAGAAGCTACTGACCGGTCTTTCTTCCTGTGTATGTGTCTAAATAAGGTTAAATAAAATTTTGTGAAATGATGTGCATCTAAATGATTTCAAGGCACTTGGTTGAAAATCATCCTTTTGTAAACGTGACAAAAAAACAGCACAAGAAATTCAAGTTTGTGCTTTCTTGTAAATTTGTAGAAAAGATTGGCAGTTATAGGGAAAAAACAGCAATGGCTAAATAAAAAATGTGCATGAATGATATCAAAGATTGAGAAGAAAAAAAGAAAAGCTGCTTTTGTGAACGTCTGAGTACAAAGTGAAAGCCGTTGTCAGCTATGATCGCATAACTCGGGTCTGATGTTAGTTGCACATGCACACACATTGTTACAAGCACAAGTTGTGGTAGTAAAAGCAGGCCCAAAAGGTTATGCTTGTAACTTAAAAATGTGCGTGTGGCTGTGTAACTTCAGTGTCACTCACGGCGTGGGAGTTTTGAGTACAGGGTTTCACACACTGTTGTCACTTTTAGCTAGTCTGGACAAAGTAATAGTAAATAAACATAATATCCCATGTACTTCACACCATGCTGCAGCCAAAGATGCTAAAAGAATTACTTGTGCAGTAGAGGACTAAAACAATACATTATATATATTTAATATTTTTAGTCTTTTGTGAATGCTAACAGGCCAATGACAGAAACAAACTCCAGACTTACCAATGAAGATGAGCAAAACTCCAACCACGATTTGCAGGATGAGGGAGATGCTAATGAGCGTAATAAGGGGCACATAGAAGGTGAAGTCCGGTCCTTGCTCCAGCACCGCCTTCAGCTGTGAGGCATTAGCCATCAGTAGAGCCACATCCAGCATGCTCTCTGCGGCACTCTTCTTATTGGCGTAATGGTTCATGTTCAGAGGTCTCTGTTGCCTCCTCCAGAGGCCTGGCTGCGGGACCTGAACGCAACACACAAACCCTGACATTAGCATGATGTTTATTTATTTACTAATATTATTTTAATGTTGGTTTATTGTGTGCGGTCTTTTCTTGGTTTTTATTATTGCTATTACCTGCACCAGGACCTGAGTATCTAAATTTGATCCCTTTCATGTATAACATGTTTTGGAACGACAATAAAATATCCTCATCCTTAGAATGACACACAAGCAATGTCTAGCAATGTGATAGTTGAACAAGCTGGGTCAGTACAGGATTTCAGATTGTTCTTTAATATTTTTTGATTAATGGCTATTTCATAATGGATCTCACTAACAAAAAATATTGTCATCAGATGTCAGTTAATATTTCTATGATGTAATCACTCAGGTGTATGTAAATGCACTTCTACTACTTCTACTGAGAACTCAACAGCTCTCACCTAACTAAATATGCTTGAAATTAGACTTTTCTGAGCCTTTATGACCCTTTTCACCACTGAAACACTCACACTGCAAAAGCGCCATGCTTTCATGTTCTGAAACTTGTGTAATTGTGGTATTTAAAAGGTTACTTTAACATGGAGAATGAAAATGAAAGCACTCTGCTGCTACTGTAATACTCGATTTCATATAAATATGTGACCTGCCGACTGCAAAGTAAGTTTTACCGTTCTTAGGGAATCAAATTTCATTTTCAAATTTATTTAATAGGATAAAACCCTTGAGATGCACCATCTCGTTTTCAAGGGGGTCCTAAAGTACATCACTACCATCACAAAAGAACAGCGACAAAAAAAAAAGTGCAATTATACATTTGTCAATGTACAGACAGACAACAGACAAACACACACAGAACCACCAATACAGAGCAACCCCAACAAAAACCACCCAGAAAAACAAAAAAACAAATCAATGATAATAATTACAGAAATATAAAGAACTTTACAACCACTAATAGGGCAATTAAAAGGAATAGGTGGTGGTGGCACATAGATAAGATGCTTGCCTTTGTTGTGAGAGACCTGGGTTCAATGCCCACTGTGGGAATCCACCATTGTGTCCATGAGCAAGACATTCAATAACAATCTTTATTTGTAGAGCACTTTTCAAAAACAAGTTACAAAGTGCTTTAACAAGTGTAAAGACAATAATACAAAAACAATACAAGATGAAAAGACTAAAATACATGTTTAAGATAAATATAACATTTCTAAAATAAAAGGGATTAAATAAAGTCAAATAAGATCGGGAAAGGCTCTCCTATAAAAGTATGTTTTAAGAAGGGACTTTAAAGAGTTCACTGACTCAGCTGACCTGATTTCCTCGGGCAGGCTGTTCAAGGCAGTTTTGAAATTGGTCTAAAATTATGTGGGAGGGAGGGATCTAAACCAGGTTTCTTTAAAAGTGGGTTCACGCAAGTCGTTTTAAAATAATCAGGGACACAACCAGTACATAGGGAGCTGTTGAAAACAGAGATCAAATGGGGCCCAACAGAATCTATTACTTTCAGTAAAAATTTTGTAGGTATTACATCAAGTGGGCTGGAGGACACTCTCATTTGTGATACCCCTTGTTGCTCCAGAGGCATGCGACCTCTGACATGTATAGCAATTGTAAGTCGCTTTGGATAAAAGCGTCAGCTAAATGAATACACTTGAATATAAGTTGAAGCCAGTGAATTTGTCTTCTTATGTTTCAAGATGGATGAATCAGAGATATGTGGGGATTGTTTTGTAGGCTCTAAGTCTTCCACTTAGCTTTACAAATTAGAGAAGTATGTCACCACAAACAAGAACTTTTTCACTAGAGCCAAAAGTTCAACATAATAAAAATGATTATCTTAAAAAACCCAGACTTGTGCAAACACAAATATTGTTTGCTGTGGAAGATATGACTGGAAGTGAAAGTGTTCAGTGGCTGAATTAAAACAGGAACCTCCATATCTTAGTAGGTCGGTAAGTTAGTTTCAGCCCAGAGGTTAAAAAATTATTTGTCATACCACATCCCCTTTTTATAGGCTGACCAATTCACACATCTAAAACAAAAGTGTGTAGAAAAGTCCCAACCCAAATAAAGTGGAAAAAGTGAGTGAAGTGAGTAATTAGCACGTTACAAAGCATGTTAACGCTGGCGTAGGAGAAGAGACTGCGAGACAGTTAAAGTATCCAACCGGAAAAATCCCTCACCCTTCCTTCAGGCCTCCAAAGCCACTCCCCAAAACACATTGTGAGGGAACAGCCAGAGTGAGCGCAGGTAGCAAGGAAGGCCAATCGTTTCATTTGGGCCAGATTAAACGACTGGTTGTGCCTATCGCAGTCCTGCAACATCCACAGATACCAGATGTTTTTTTTTTTCGTTTCAGAGATTTTGATTTATTGATTGCTGTACGAATGTAAAGAGAATTTCGACAAATACAACAAAAAATGGTTCTAAAATGAATTGCCTGCCCCAGTTTTAACACTCAAATAGACTGACTTATCTCCCCAGGCACAGACTGTGTGGAGGAATCTATTTCCTTCCTCTGCATTATAAACATTACATCGCAGGAAACTTGGGTAACTGTCAAGACCTTTCTTTCTCTTTATGAGTTTAGTTCAGCACTCAGGCTTTCATCTGGGTGGTGTGTAATCCAGCAGTCCAACAGTGCCACCCTTGTGCCCAAGTTGGCAGCATCATACGCTGAGGTTCAACTCAGCGCTCCCCTTTCTGCACCTCTGAAACCCTGCAAGGCCACAGAGGAAAAAGGTGCTCTTGTGGCAGACCAGGAGATGAGTGTGTCACCCACTAAATCTCTCACTCTCACATTATGGTACTGTTACAGCTTCATTTTCTCTTTTTGTTATTGCCTTCTTCCCACTCACAGCTCCCTGCATCCCGGGCTTTCCAGGGAGTGGTCATCTGTCTTTGAATTTCCCCACTCAGAATCTGAATTAGCTTTACTGCCATGTAGGTTTACACATACAAGGAATCTGCTTTGGTGTTTTGGTGCTTAGCAATAAACAAAGCAGGTAGAAAAATATAAGAAAGATAAAGACAGAGCGAGTTTCTAAAGTCTTTTTAAAGGACGTTTTGCCTTCTGATAATCTGAAAAAAATATATTTATGTTGGTGACACTTTAACTGCAGTGCTTCCACTTCCACTAATCATTTTTACAGTATAAAAGGTTAAAGGAGCTCAGAAACAAGAGAACAAGCAGTTAGCGGTTATTAAATTTGAGTAAATAATGAACCTGTACCAATATTTGTTTTGGTTAATAGTTTTGTCTATTAAAAGAAATAAAAATGACAATCACAATTTCCCTTCTTTTATTTGAAACAACGACAATGCGCAGGATATTCCATTTAAAAGTAAGCTATATTTAAGAGAGATAAGTTATATTTTGAATTAAATTAAAACAACAATGAAATGTAAGAATGTGAAGTTATTCACATTATGTACCGCTTCAACCCACTTGGACAAATCATGAACTGATTGACCCTGGTTCAGGTCGCTGAGCTGACCGACCTGGATTCCTTTACAGAGCAATGATGGTTATGTGCTCCTCTGTGTCGTCTGTCTTTATGTGTAAACTGAGCCTTTGTAGGTAACTAAACAGGAGAGGAGCCGAGGCGAACACACAACAACACGAACACAAGTTCGTTTAAAACTAGTGAAACGTTGAAATTTGCCTTGAGCTAACCAAACAACACCGGGATGAAGGATGAGAGAGGAGGCAGCCATCGATCCCCAGTATGACCGACGAGTTTCTACTTGGACTGGGAACTGAGTCTGTGGGGATTTGTTACCCTTCACAGAGCAGGATTAGTGGTGACTGAACAATAAACTATGCTGTCCCTTGTAGCAGGCGTCGCTGTCTTACCTCGGGCTCGCCGTTTCGGTCAGCAACACCGTTCAATTCCAAGTTTTCCGTAGCCATCGTGTTACCGCGTTATATCCCGAGTAGGTTGCTCACATTGAGAGCCGCGGGGCTGTGTTCCACACTGTTGATAAAAGACTGCTGCTGTGACGACAAGAGGCATAATAGCTGCAGACGACCGCCCCTCATCATCGCTGCATCAAGCAGAGAGAGCAGGGCAGGAGTGACGCTACACTCAAGCCTGGGAATTCACCCACAGTAGCCTACTTCCCAAACACTTCCCTCAAATCCTGATGTAATGTATAAGAGCCAAGCAGTGTTTTAATGTAGACTTCGGTCGCACATCCACTCAATAAGAGACATCATAGGAAACATGGCTCTTTACTGCCGCCCTGCGTATTAATGCGGTGTTGCACTTTGAAAAAAAGAAGATGAAATCAATTTGATTTCCCCTCGACCCTGTACGCAGCAAGCGGTTGACGATAAATTTGATTTGATTAAACCCAAATGTGTTTAAGGATATGCACCATGTAAATATGTCAACTGAAATATTAAAGGCATTAACGCTAGATTCTTTGTTTCACAGAGCCCTAGAGCCTACGCGACCACATTAGGGCCCATACATCTTAATTTTGTGATTGTGCTTTGGTAATGCAAATTACAAAAAGAAATGTTACCGATATTGCAAATAGACAGCCCAAGTGATCTGGGGCTCCTGTGGCTCTAGGGCCCTTGGGCAATTCCCTCACTTTTAATCCAGTCCTGAGTAACAACAAAAGTAATTGGATTTAGCAAACAAAGTAGGCTAGATAAATAACTTGATTACAACATGGGGAATATTGTGTGATCAATTCTTGTGAATTCATTACACTAACAAAACTCCCATTACCACTCACTTCTGTGGTAATGGTATGCGCATGTTACTAAAACTATCATTAGTGCTTTGAGGTTTGTGACTGGATGTAAAGCATCAACACATCATTGTACCTTGTACAAAATGACAAACTGGCCCTCATTATCAGTGAGGAGGCACATACATTGGCTCACTTTTATTTACAAGTCTATGTTGCATATGCTCCCCTCTTATGTTTGGACTTATATATAATGCAACATAAGTTCCTATAATTTGCGCTCCAGTAACCTGTATTTGTTATCTGTACCTACGGTCCGTACAGAGCTCGGTAAGAAGGCCTTTAGTTATGCTGCCCCATCCACCAGGAACACATTGCAGACTGATTTGCAGTTTGTGAAATCTGATCCCTTTTGGTGAATTTAAACAGGGCATCAAAGACTTGGAAGTAAACGCTATAAATTGTTGTCACTGCTTTTAAAATAACTAAATCCTTTAAACCTACGGTATGTATAAATTGTACTTTTAAGTAGTCTAATGTCGTTTGTTTATGTATCATAAGGGTCTTGTTAATTGTTGTTTGTTGTTGTGCATGAGCTTGTGTTCATAGTTGTAACTCTGCTTTGTCAATATGCTGCTATTTTGGCCAGGTCTCTCTTGGAAAAGAGGTTTTAAATCTGAATGAGATCATCTGTCTCGCGCTATGACCTAGTACTGCATTTTTTGCAACTACTTTCAATGATATGATTTCTCAAAATTAATATTCTTGTTGAGATAGGTGCCAGTTTTATCAGTGAAGTAAGTAACCAAAACGATTAAACTGAATGAATGGAATGTATGGAAACAGATGAGTCTTGATAATAATGAATGTGAAGAATTGAAAAAATATATGTATTTTAAGATTTGTTTACAAATTATTCTCTCCACAAAAGTACTTTTAATACACACAAATAGTTATGTAGTGTATAGAAAATCCAAAATACATTTGGTAATCCTCCATTCAATTAAATCGAGACTAGTGATTCCATAGTGATTGATATTATTTGAACAGGTACATTTTATGAACGATTCATACCATTTCTAGATCTGACCCTGATGCTAAATCTTTTCTTTATATACCTTTAAGGATTCACATCCTGAACCTGAAACTACTGTTTGCGCATCCACCCCAGAACTGCCTGCAGAGCAACGCAGAATTTCTGTAGAGCAAGGAGTTACATTCGTAAGTTAACTTGTTCTTTGTGAGAATGGTTAACAATAATTTGTGTTTTTGTTTTTTTATTGAATGTGACAAGCCTAGCTTCACTTTGACTGTAGGGAAAAACACTATTTTTCCACACTAGTCTGCCTTTTGAAATGCATGTATTGTATATTTTTTAACTCCCATCATCATTCAGAATCATACCATCATTTTCATAGAATATTTCTGGGATTCTCAACAAAACACCTGAAGGGAAATGCTTGGTTGGCACTCTTGAAGAAAACAATCACATTTCCATTAATGAAAGAAGATCCATGGTCTGGATACTCGTTTCCCACCTGATGGAGAGCTTTGGTGAGAAGTAAGTACTTCTCATACATAGATTAAGCATATTAATGGGAGCAAATTTTTTACTGATGTGAACTAGGGCTGAACAAATATTGAGGGGAATGATTTTTAGTCACATTCAAATTTAAAAACATTGTACAGATTTAAATAAAGATGCTTCATAAGTCTCTAGAATGCAAGATGAAACATATCTCTGCAGCACTGCAATATTTAATTTAAAATTGTATTTTGACACACATTTTACCAACACACATCACCTCCTGCAATTTGAAAATTGCATTATTAATCAATTAAATTTTGATTATTGTTCAGCCCTAAAGTTAATCGCTTCTGGGTTCAGTTGATGTTGTCTGATCTATGTGACCTGAGGTGTGGTACCAAAATTTGTGTTTAAAAAAGCTTTATATTGCCAATTTTGTTTTAATAAAAATTATACTATAAAATAGGGCTGGGCAATAAAACAATAATGATAATTATCGCAATATAATTTTCCTCAATATCAATATAATAAATGTTCAATATATCATTAATAAATATTCGGTTTTAATTAATTTGAATCACAAAAAAATTAGCACTTAATTTGTATAAAAATGTTTATTTTGTTGAAAAAAAAAGAGTCCTGAAAAAAAGGTTAACTAATCTTAATTGTAGTAAAAAAATTGTTTTGAATGTTCTACCTCAGACTTGTTTGGCATCAAGTGTTTGTCCCATTCTGACCATAAAGAAAAGTTTAACCACATAATTAACCATCTGGTTTCTTCAATTTTCACTCAGGAGCAGAAAACAGCCTTTAAACTTGAAAGTAATAATGATTTGACAAATCGTGATAATTATCAAACGATGTGAAATGTTTTTATCGTGATAACATTTTTGGCCATATCGCCTAGCGCTACTAAAAAATGTCTATTTGTAAGTCCAACTTCAGATACGAAGATAATGTTGGGGTCATCCATAGTGGCTGAATTTCCATGTCTGAGGGACTGTCATGGCACGGACTATGTAAGTACAGTTACTACCCACACATGAACCTACACAAAGCAAATGTGACAACCCCCACACAGGAGTCAGCTTCTATGCCTAACGGTGTATATATACAGCACTCTGTTGTCACTGTTGTTACTATAAAACATAACATGCACAGAACTTAAAAACTTCTCAGATGGTAAAAGCAGGTAGACAGATGGTTATAACATCTTGCAAATATAGTCAACAGATGGTAGGGCTGCATGACATGAGGAAAATGTGCAGTAACAGTGGTCAATATTGCAATAAAGAGATGACTTGCAATAAATAAACTTGAAGTGTACAAATTAGTTGCCTGGTTGGTTTAAATTCAGAAAAGGGTTAGCATTGAATATTTTAAATACAACTAAATATTGTTTCCAGAGCAGCAACATTAAAGTTTAAAGCAGCAAAGTCAGTATAAGAACTCAAACTAATCTAACATCTAAATCTAACCATGTGCAGCACTGTAAATGTCACTGGCAGAGAAACTATTTAAGACTCAGTCAACGCTCATGGCCGATTGAGCTGAAAATTGATAGAATCCGAATGATCCTTTTCCCTAACTAACACACTAAAACCTTTTTGAGGGGTGGGGGCAATGAAATTAAGTAACAGTTATTGTCATCTCTTAATTTCAGGGTTGCTGCTGGTTCTGTTCCTAATGTTTTTTTTGTTTACTTTTTAAACTTCAGGATGCAGGGTTCACTGAAAAAATGAACTTTGTCGTATAGTAAAATATATTAAATTAACTGTCATAATTTCTACATTGTAATATCACGTTTCAGTGAAATCTGCAATTTCCTAAGTAAATGTTTAAATATTTACATGCAGAAAGACCTAAAAATACTAAGTAAATTGTAAGCAGTGTTACTTGTTTATGTTTGAATCCACGCATGCGCCTTTGGACAAATGACCCGCTCATTTTAGCGGTATTGTAGAAGAGCCATCAGGCCGGTGTGACTGATCTGTGGTGTTTGAGACGGGGGTGCTTCATGACTGACTTTTCTTGGGCGTAAGTAATTGCTATTCTGTTTTACATTGTTATCAATGCTGTCATTTTATTATCTACTAGGGAGGAAGAAGAAGTGCTTGCCCCGCCCTGGGACTGCTGCCATGTTAACGTTTTTACCAGTGTTACAGGGTGTGGTGTGTGGACAGAGAGGACCCAAATGCAGCACTCTGAGGGAAGGAGGTTTGAGGGAAAAAGGGAGAGAGGGACTGGAGTGGAGGGAGAGGAGGACGTCGGGGAAGCACAGGCACGGGGGAACAAGGAGACAGGGGGCCAGGGAGCCGGGGAACACAGGGGCCGAGGAAGCGAGGAGAGGCGGGGGAACCGGGAGGACGCCGTGAGGGAATTCCGAGGAGGAGTGGGCCAGTGGATGAGCCCAGCCGAACGGAGGACGAGGGTGAGTGTACCTGGGAGGGAAACAGACAGCGACAAGGCACAGGGTAAATGAGGAGAAAAAAAACAAGAAACATGGAAGCCTGAACACGGAAGTGGCACCGGGTATGGAGCAACGACGATCAAGCGAGGGTGGTGTGGAGAACCGGGGTTGAAATACAGGCAGTCATGAGGTGATTATTGGCAGGTGTGGCAGGCTGACGAGGTGGCTGATGGGATGCAGGTGCAGGTAGTTGGCTGGGCTCAAGAGCAGAGGGACAGAGAGAGCACACAGGGGAGAAAACACAGGGAGGCAGGCAGAGAACAGAAAACAAAGGAAAAAAGCAGAAAACTGATAAAAAGGAGAAAAAATCAGGACACTCACCGTCAGCCGGGCTGCCAACACAACAACCAGATTAGAAAAAACAATGTCGATGTGTAAGTTAACTTATCCAATGTTAACTTATGCTGAAATGCTCTTTTGTTTATTTTATTTCCATAAAATAAAGGTAACGTTTTGGAAGTTGCCAATGAGTTGGTAAGTTGAAGAGTAACCTAACGTTAGAGGGAGAGATATGTTGAATGTAAGGCGGTATCCTGCTAATAATAATATAACAGTAAAGTTAAGTTAGCTAGCTAGCTTAAGTGGTCACGGAAAACAAGGGTCCCAGAAATGTAGTTTCGGTCCAGGACTGCGGAAAATGTAGCCTACGGGGTTGTGCCCAGTGCTGCGGCGGGCATGCCGTCATGTTGCTGTGTACATAGATCAGATGTGGTCATTAATGTTATGTTACCACATATTTTTGCTGAATCTCAAGAAATGCTTTTTCTACTAACGTTAAGTGTAATAAAATATTGATGACTAAACGTTAAGAAAATATATAAAGTTACTAAGAATAATTTATAACATTTAGAATATTTCAACTGGTGATAGGAAAGCTCACGCTGCCGGTGTAACACCGGTTTCAATGGGGAAGTTGTTAATGTAACGTTACCAGATCAGCTTTAAACATGCTGGCTTGGCAGGTAAAATGTGGTTTGGTATTGCAGCACAGCTGACCCTTTCATTTAACTTGTAAAAGTGTCTAATGTTATAAATAGTAATGTGTAGTGGGACAACGGTGTGGATTTGTGCATTTTATTAAATAAATTTGGAGCTACTCCAAATCCCTCTTTTCCTCTCCCAGAGAGGAGCAGGGGGGTTAAAGATAAACAGACTGCTGAAGAGACCCCAACGGAAGGGGGGTGGAAAAGTTGCTTTCTCTAAGTGCTATCCTTGACCATAAAACTGGCACCTTTTTGATCTATGAAGCTGATAAAGCGGTGCCTGACTGTTAAACTGACAAAAGGGACACTAACCAGCGATTAGCATTTCCATGAACAGCCTATCAAAACTGCCCCTCCCACACATGTAACCGTGGCAACTGACCTTGCTCTGTGTTTCATTACCCCATCAAAGGGATACTCCTTTTTTCACCAAAGTGTGACATAACCCAGGAAGCTGCAGTCTCCAAAAACTCAAAGCATTTAATTAAGTTTAATTAAATCTTTTAGTTACTTGATTACGTTTGCCTCTATTTGAGTAGTTATGTTACCATGTTGTTGCTATCTGTTGCTGATATTAGTGCGGAAAAGAATCTAAATAAGTTACTTTTGCAGTGTTTTTATTTTCAGCAAGACACTCCTTCATCTAATGTGTAATCAATGCTTGATCACAATACTTTCTCACAAAATTCCTTTAGAAATGATGATAAAGAAATATCATAATATACTCTTAATCGCCAGCTTGAATTTAAGGCTGAATAACTAAATTCCCCAGTTCCTAAGGAGAGATGGTCTTGGATTAATCTAAGCTTTCCTCATGTAACCTGAGCTCCCTCAAGTGGACGAAATAAGTATTACACACCATCATCGAAATGCCGTTAATGTATAAATGTCACCCACTTATCCTGACCAATAATGTGACAATTGTTTTCCTGTTACCAAATGCTTAACTTAGAACGGTACAACCGTTTGACCATTGAGGTTTGATTGTGGAAAATATTTGATTATAATACGCGCAAATAGATTTCTTTTCTTTTAGACATTAAGTTTAGAAAGGCAGTCCCTCGGGAAACCTGAAATGCCCTCTGGGGAACCACGCCCCAGGCAACAAAAGAGCGACACGCGAGGTCGCTCGCTCTCTCTGCTCTTCTCCTCCCCTCGTGCCCTGGTCTTCCACTCTGCTCTCTGGACGCTTCGGCATGCGTCCGGCGTGCCTCGCCAGGCAACGCCTAAGAGGTCGGCCAGCGCAATAGGCCTTTGTTCGCTTGAAGCTACACACGCGAAGTGCCGCGACATCGATCTGCCCCTCAGTTTGTTTTATTTTCTTTCTTTCTTTTGTTTTGTTAAAGTTATCAGTACGTTAAGTTACACTGGACTAATTCAGGAACGACCAAGTTCCATTTTAAGCTTTTTCGTCGAGCCAACTTCACCGAGGTCAGACCAAGCCACGTGGTCTCGCCAGCGGCAACGATGGAAACCTGATAACAGCTGAATTGCCAGACGGAGGACGGCGTTTTCTTCAGACACGGAGAACCCCGGAGAATCCCTAGCAAAAAGCCAGGATCGGGCAGCTAGCGTGGGACCCGTGCAACAGGCCACAGCAGGCCGTCGACAAGCCGTAAGACCTAACAAACATTCTGTAGTCAGAGATGTCCCGTAATGTTAATATTCAATCAAATTCAATCAAACCTCCATTGCTCATTGTTCAGCCATTGTTTATTTTCCCTGTATTTAACCACCCGTTTATATCGCTTTAGTTAACTAGTTATAATACTTATCTAGTTATTAATAAATTCACTGTAATCAGGAAACTGTGTGTGTTGCCTATTTCCACGTCCCTGCCAAGAGAATTGACCCTTTAGATATGAGACTGACTGATTGATTTAAGATAATTATTAGCGATTATTACCTAACTGATCACTAGTAATAATTGTATAATTATTAAAAGCTACCTAGAGGTCCGGAGACTCTAGATTATAACAACTCCGGTGGTGCCCTGAAACGAGGAATATTTTTTTGATTTTATGAATATTAAAATTCATAATTGGGTATTAATTCTCATAAATTTATTACAATTCATAACTAATTTAGCCATGCGACAAGTGTAATATTGTTTTTTAAATTACATTTTTCAGTTTCAAGCACTCGTTCTGACAAGTTTAATTGTATACCATACCAAGCATTGTTATGGAGTCTGCAAATTGCCTATTTTAGAAACGTCTAGCCATTCTTTTAGAAAAATGTGTAAGACATCTTTGTATTGTGGTATTGCTACCAAATTCGAACTGGGTTCTATGGTAAAAAGTATGATTCCACTGTGTTTTGACTTAAAAATGCAACCTGCTAGCCAGCTAGTGAAGTGTAGTGTAAATTAAGGGCAGCTAGTGTAGTGTAAATTGAGGGCATGTTGGAAGGAGTGATTATAACAACAATGGTCTTTTTCACTGAGTGGAAATCTTTTTTTTGCATTTTCAAATTTTTTTGTTACTTAATACTATTTTTTTCACTGTGTAATGTAATTTAAAATTGTGGCAAAATGTATTAAATCCTTGTATTAATATCATAAATTGTCTGTTTATTACAGGGTGAACTTACTGTTTGGACAGGCTGGACGGTGGACAGTAGGTCTAAGGACAAAAATGATTGCTCAGATGAAGGCCAAGAGAGGTGTCGTGAGAACGAAGCTGAAAATCACAACAACAGTTATCTCACAGCGCTTTTCATAAAAGAGCAGGTCTAGACCGTACTCTATGATGTTATTTACAGAAGCCCAACAATTCCCACCCAGAGCAAGAACTAGGCGACAGAGGCAAGGAAAAACTTCCTTTTAAGAGGCAGAAACCTCGAGCAGAACCATGGCTCAGGGTGGGCGGCCATCTGCCTCAACCGGTTGGGGATGAAGGAGAGAGAGCGAGAGAGAGAGGGCAAGAGAGGAACAGAGAGAAAAAGAGAGGGCTGGAAGGAGAGAGAGGGGAGAGAGGCAGCCTACACAATATACACACACAGAGGTACAGACAGTAAAGGTGATGTTGCTATAGACTAAATGAAAAATGGTAGATATTTATAGTAGTGTTAATGATAACAATCGTAATGTTAATGATTATAATAACAATAATAATAATAATAATAGGACTAGTAACAATAGTCGTTGCGGCAGAGGGTGTCGAGGAGGAACACGGGGGCAGCAGGTGACCCGCAGCCACAGATCCAGACTCCACAGATCCAGAGCCAGAAAACCTGCAGGAAGTGATAGGAGGAGAGAGGAGAGGGACGAGAAAGCACAAGACTACTGGAAAGGGGAGAAATTGTGTTAGTAACATGCAATAATGGGATGAGGTTGCATACAGAGGGAGAGAAAGTAGAGGAGAGAGGAGCTCAGTGCATCATAGGAAATCCCCCGGCAGTCTAGGCCTATAGCAGCATAACTAAGGGATGCTTCAGGACTCACCTGAGCCAGCCCTAACTATAAGCTTTATCAAAGAGGAAAGTCTTAAGCCTACTCTTAAATGTGGAGATGGTGTCTGCCTCCTGAACCCAAACTGAGTCTACTTTTGGAGACTCTAGGAACCACAAGTAACCCTGCATTCTGGGAGCGCAGTGCTCTGGTGGGGTAGTAAGGTACTATGAGCTCTTTAAGATAAGATGGTGCCTGACCATTAAGAGCTTTGTAGGTAAGAAGAATGATTTTAAATTCTATTCTGGACTTTACTGGAAGCCAATGCAAAGAAGCTAAAACAGGAGAAATGTGATCTCTTTTCCTGGTTCCTGTCAGAACACGTGCTGCAGCATTCTGGATCAGCTGAAGAGTCTTAATGGACTTTTTCGAGCAGCCTGATAATAAGGAATTGCAGTAATCCAGCCTAGAAGTAGCAAATGCATGGACTAGTTTTTCTGCATCATTTTTAAACAGGATGTTCCTGATTTTCGCAATATTACGTAGGTGAAAAAAGGCGGTCCTTGAAATTTGCTTAATGTGAGACTTGTCATGATCAAAGATAACTCCAAGATTCCTCACAGTGGTGCTGGAGGCCAGGGCGATACCATCAAGGGAAACTATATCTTTAGATAATGCATCACAGAGGTGCTTAGGCCCCAGAATAATAACTTCAGTTTTATCTGAGTTTAACATTAGAAAATTACAGGTCATCCAGGTTTTAACATCCTGAGGGCACATTTGAAGTTTAGCTAACTGATGAGTTTCGTCTGGCTTGATCGATGGATATAACTGAGTATCATCTGCATAACAATGAAAGTTTATGGAATATTTCCTGATAATATTGCCTAAAGGAAGCATATATAAAGTGAAGAGGATTGGTCCGAGGACAGATCCTTGTGGAACTCCATGACTAACTTTGGCGTGCATGGAGGACTCATCGTTAACATGTACAAACTGAAATCGATCTGATAAATAGGACTTAAACCAGCTTAGAGCGGTTCCTTTAATGCCAATGAAATATTCCAGTCTCTGCAATAGAATCTGATGGTCAATGGTATCAAATGCAGCACTAAGATCTAATAAAACCAGTACAGAGACAAGTCCTTTGTCTGATGCAATGAGGAGGTCATTAGTAATTTTCACCAGTGCTGTCTCTATGCTATGATGAGCTCTAAATCCTGACTGAAAATCCTCAAATAAACTATTGCTCTGTAGAAAGTTACACAGCTGTTTAGAAACTGCTTTCTCCAGAACCTTAGAGAAATGGAAGGTTAGATATAGGTCTATAGTTGGCTAAAACATCCGGATCAAGTTTGGGCTTTTTCAGAAGAGGTTTAATTACAGCAACTTTAAAGTACTGTGGTACATAGCCTGTTGATAAAGACAGATTGATCATATCTAGTATAGAAGTGCTGACTAAGAGTAAAACATCTTTAAGCAACCTAGTCGGGATGGGGTCTAAGAGGCAGGTTGATGGTTTAGATCAGGGGTATTCAATTAGATTTCAAAGAGGTCTAGTTAGAGAAAATTTCCTGAAGCAAAGGTCCGGAACATCAAAACGACGAACTTGCGTTATCATTCAGTACTATAACCTATAGTTGTATCAACACATGTTTTTAGTCAACAACAGACTGTCAAATCAAAAAATATTTCAGTCAGTTTTCACATCAAACTGGAGGGATAATAAATAATAACTATTCAAATAATAAATTCTAAATTTAAGTAAACTAAAGTGCCTAATTTTTAGAAAAAATGTAATAAAAAGTGTAGCTTGAAGTGATGAAGTGTAGTCTTAACCAATTTTATAATAAACACTCAACACATCATAACAAATGAACAGCTGTAATGCCTCCTCTTCTTTCATTTCCTCTTAGAGCTACCACTTTCCTACTTTCTGTTGTTCAGTGAGAAATGTGAGCTCCAGCTAGCATATTGGAGATCTATGAGATATTCTGGTTTTGAAATGCCCGTGGGAGGAATGTACATGTAAAATCTGTACATTCTTGATTAAAAGTCATGTGAAATCTCTTTTATCTTTCGTCTCCTCAATTCGGGTGTGTTTCCAAAACATCTCTGGTGAATCTTGCGGACTCGACTCGCAAGCATCGGTATGCACAGATTTGATTGGCTGAGCAGCGTCACATGAGACGATTGGAGCACATGCGATTGGTCTGTGAGTTTCCTGGTCCTCTAAACCAGTACAGTAAATGCTAGAAAAGCTGCGCGGGTTAAAATAGAAACGCTCCGTCACGAGGTAGTAAGTCTCAATAATAAATGGGCTGTAGGTCGGCGGTCCGGAGAGGACGGCGGCTGGGTCCGGATCCGGACCGCGGTCCGCCTATTAGTGACCTCTGGTTTAGATGAAGAAATTATTGAAGTTAGTTGGTAAAGATTGAGGGAAGCAAAGCAGTCTAAACATATATCTGGTTTTACAGCTGTTTCTAAGGTTCCTGAGTTTAGAGATAAGTTGGTGCCAGTTGAGGGCAGATCTTGGTGAATTTTGTTTCTAATAGTTAGAATTTTATCATTAAAGAAGCTCAAGAAGTTGTAACTACTGAGAGCTATGGGAATACTTGGCTCAATAGAGCTGTGACTCTCTGTCAGCCTGGCTACAGTGCTGAAAAGAAACCTGGGGTTGTTCCTATTTTCCTCTATTAATGACGAGTAGTACGCTGCTCTGGCATTACGGAGGGCCTTCCTATAAGTTTTAAGAGTATCTTGCCAAATTAAACGAGAAGTTTGGTGGAACGCCAATTCCTCTCAAGTTTCCACGATATTTGCTTTAATTTGCGAGTTTCAGTATTATAACATGGAGCTAACCGTCTTTGTTTTATTATTTTCTTTTTTAGAGGGGCTACAGAGTCGAGTGTCATCCGCAGCGAGCCTGCAGCACTATCAACAAGATGATCGATTTGGGAGGGACTGAAATTAGCATAGGAGTCCTCTTTTATTTTGTGACTTGATAATGAATTTAGAGCTGATGGAATTGCATCCTTAAATTTAGCTACAACACTATCAGACAGACATTTTGTATAGAAATTTTTGCCCAATGGTGTGTAGCTCAGCAATACAAACTCAAAAGTTATCAAACAGTGGTCGGACAAAGAGGGATTCTGTGGGGACACTATTAAATGTTCAATTTCAATACCATATACCAAAACAAGGTCGAGGGTGTGGTTAAAACAGTGAGTCGGTTCATGAACACTCTGAGAGAAGCCAATCGAATCTAACAGAGAGATAAACGCAGTACTGAAGCTGTCATTCTCAACGTCCACATGAATAATCCCCTACAATAATAACTTTGTCCGTTTTAAGGACTAAAGTTGACAAAAACTCTGCAAATTCAGATAAGAATTCAGAGTACGGACCAGGTGCTCGGTACACTATAACGAAAAGAATTGGTTGCAGTGATTTCCAACTTGAGTGCGAAAGACTAAGAACAAGGCTTTCAAATGAGTTATAGTTTAGTTTAGGTTTAGAGCTGATTAGTAGGCTAGAGTCAAAGATAGCTGCAACTCCACCTCCTCAGCCTGTGCCTCGAGGAATGTGAGTATTAATATGACTGGGAGGGGTGGATTCATTTAGGCTAACATATTCTCCATCACCCAGCCAGGTTTCAGTAAGACAAAATAAATCAATATCATAATCTTATATTAGTTAATTTACTAGTACACCTTTAGAAGAGAGAGATCTGTTGTTTATGATGGCGTATAGATAAGATGCTTGCCTTTGGTCTGGGAGATCTTGGTTCAATTCCCACTGTGAGACATCCACCATTGTGTCCCTGAGAAAGACACTTAACCCCTAGTTCCTCCAGAGGTGTGTGACCTCTGACATGTATAGCAATTGTAAGTTGCTTTGGATAAAAGCGTCAGCTAAATGAATAAATGTAATGTTTAAGAGTCCACCTTTAATTTTGCTATTAGTTTGCACTATTGCTCTTGTGGTTTTAATTTTTATAAGGTTTTTATGTAGAATAGCTCATCTTATGTTAAATATGTATGTTAAATTGAGCCAATCTGTGTATTTTTAGCACATGTTCATTCTGCTCCGTAAATAACTTTCAAGTACTTGTTTTATTATTGTTTTTTTCCTCAACATAAATTTTGTATTTATTTTTTTCATAAATTGTTTACAGGAGGACAACCGGAGTGATGCCACTCAACACATCCTCAAGATCCTGGTCGTCCATGGTGCTGATGGAGAAGATACAGTGGATGTATCCATCCTTCTTGAATGCAAGGAGATGTTGTCTGGATGCTGCAGTGCTTCTAAAGCTTGCATGCTCGTCACGGGAGTGATTTATGCCCTCAATCTGGCATACCCCCCCAACACTGGGGCAACATTGCACTACAATTTGGCGGTGTTTCAGAAACTTTCCCTAGAACTGGATGGGATTAAGCTGTCCCCAAAACTACAAGCTTTTAAGCAGCAGTTGCTGTCTTGAATGCTATTGCAATAGCAAGTGTTAGACCAGGGATGGTACATCTTCACTCACTTCTCCATCTTGCAAAGGATTGTAACAATTTAAAAAGACACCGTCACCTGCATTGGACCCTCTGCTCTCACACAACAACTTGGTTTTAAATGTCCACACAAAGACTTGCAGCATCCATCTCCAGCTTTGACTCTCCAAAAGACTGTTGGATGTGGCCAGATTTGACCAGGACTTTGAAAACATTATTTCTCTTTTTAATTTGGGTTAATGCAAAAATAATCACTGTGGAATGATAATTTGCCAATGTGAATATCAGTATTCATTCTAAACACGTGGTTCCAACAGTATATAATGCACTTAAAATGATACCTTGCTCTCACCTTTTGTAGAGAAAGGTCAATATGTGGCACCTTGCCTTTGAGGTGAACTTTTCCCTGTCTGTAATGTTTGCCATTTTCTGTTAACTAAGGCATCCTATATGTCTATTATTGATGTTTATGACAGATAAAACAAAGAAAAGGTTAACATTCTATATCTAAACTAAACTCTAAATTGTTTTAATGCATTACGGTTTTAATTGCGCACACAACATGCACAAGTACATAGTCTGGTTTGAATGTTGCAGTTGCCTTTTTGTTCCAGTTTTACAGTGTTTTACAGTTATTTTATTTGAAAAGCCCCATTTTAAAATATATATATTGGATGCAATGGTTTTGTATTTAAGAGCAAGGTAATATTGTCAAATATTTGCAATATTGACTGACAAAGAACAAAGAGGAGGAATTGGTTGTTAAAAGTTTTCTTGTTTTTGTCATGTGATATGCGATTCTATATGATGTTCTCTGAGGTCAAAGAAACCATTTGGAAATACAGTAAACTAGGATTGGATCATTTCAGTGACACTGAGTTCATTTTTCATAAGTTCGTATTGGTAAATGGCAGTTGGATTGTTTTACAGAACAGCATTCAGTAGTACGTTTTTTCCCAAGAGATCAGTGGAAATATACATGCGGTGTACCAGTGATACCACTGTTTCATTTACGGCTGGTGAACTTTTACATCCCCTCTTCAACATGAGTTTTGTGAGTTGAGTAGAAGTAGAACAATTCTACACGACTGTCATTCAAAATAAGAAATGGTTTTATTGAATACACCTTAAACACTTGTTTCCAGGTGTCCAAGAGATGTGAATGCTAATTGGTGTTTACTGTTCACAAAATAAACAGTTAAATTGAATTTTGTATTGTGTGATTTGTACTGAAGTACATTAAATGCATAGCAAAAATGTAAGCTTTATTAAAATAAAATGAGCAACATTTACATGATTATAGTGAGTAATATAACATCATGCAAGTAAGTAATTTAAATTATCAATCAGGAAAAATAATATGAAGTCTACTTATTTAATTCATACTAGTAAATAGTACAGGTAGATAAAATTTACTTAATATTTTGGTGACAGTGATGTTTCTGTATATGAAAAAATTTAATTGACTTTACTTAATTTGTTTAAATAAATATAACTTACATGTTCAATATAATTAAGTAACATTTATTTAGTATCTTACAGATGTTTAGTTTAGTTATAAGTAAATTTTACTTGATACTGGCAAGTGTGTTGTACTTGATAGTAGAGCAGTAAAATTTACTTAAAAAGTACTTGTGCAAATTGTTACAAGGATTTTATCAAGTAAATCCTACAAGTTATTATTTTCAGTGTTCTCCCCAGGGAGGAGACATAAACCAGCAACAGTATTTCTGGAGGAGCGCCTACGCAATATCCGGAAAAGGCTTCACCACGGTATGCGAGGAAATTCAACAGAGCAAGTGCCACATGATACCCAAATCATTTTACCAGGTACAGCAAGATGTCCTTCCATTTCATCACAAAATTTTATCTGACAGCACTTGAAAAGTCAACTGTTCCAATCTGATAGTCTCCATTATTACCTGAAGCTAGTCCTAGTATATCACTGCTTGTTAGTATTTATCTATTTTCCTGCATGTTACAGAACCAACTATAACTCCAGTTGACTGAGTGGCTGAAAAACAACATCTGGCCGCCATCTTAGGTTGGCCCACACATGCTGGAGATTCACAGAGCGCAGTTTCCTCGTTTAGTCGACACTCCGGGCATGGTGAGCTTGCATTTCATTAAGTTTTACTCAATCAGTTGTTGTTTGTGTCTTACACCTTTGCATCTTTGTCTTCTCCTGTACTTAGATTTCTCAGGATTTCTCAGTATTACACCCAGAGTCTTCTGGAAAATTAACTGAAACCTGGAACCCCATGTTCTCTGCAAAGATAATTCGCATGGCTAGGAAGGAGAAGACTGCTGACCTTCTCACCAACATAGATTCACTCCCAGCAGGTATTTACATTTTAAAAAATGGTTGTTGATTAGAGAGCATTAGCAAGACCATTGCACTTAACATTTATTTAATCAGTGGTAACTGTTGTATTTGAAAGACATTTGACAGATATTTTTATTTTACAGACAAACAAGGTGACGAAGCATTACAGCTGCTGCCAGTGCTGCTCCCAACTGCCCTTTACAAAGTGGGGAAGAAAGTGTTCCGCCCCAGCAGCCTGGAGATTCGCAAGGCCTTCGTGGATGTCCAGCCTGGGAGTCCTTTTTAATATCCTGTTCCAAAGTATTATTTACTGTGTTGCCCAGTTTGGAAAATACAGTCTTCTAGATCAGACGTCACATTTTTCAACCGAAGTCCCACAGCCCTGTTGTGTTCGCATCTAAACAGAAAGCTACTTAACCAGAAAGTAAACAAGCTAATGGCGTTGCAGCGTGCTGGAACAGCAGCTAGCCATAGCAGCTGCTCTCCTCAGCACAGAATCAGGTAACGTTAGCGAGCTCTGCTCCATTGTGTGCTTTAAGGCACAATGAGAGACTCAGCTGGGCTTCTTTGGTCACTCAGCACGTAGTGGTTGTCTGAAGAGGTTTAATACGTTTCACAACGTCCTTAGCATCACAGTGTTATCCAGTGTGTCGGTGTCAGAGAGCTCAACTTGTTGACAAACAATCTAACTTCAAACATAAAAATATGAATTTATTTAACTATTTCTCAATGTGAATAAAATAAGGCTCACATTGTAATGTGGAAATATGGTCTTTTTAAGTAAGTTTTATAAAGAAATTTAGGGACATGAAGTTTATAACCTGAATCTTGTGTTGTTTTTTAGATTGGAACTAACATGGTGGATTACCTGACAAGACCAACAACGGAGTACCCGTATGTCCGTATGCTGGGGGAGGACCAACAGTGTTCCCAAGCATTTGTTGTCCTAAACGGTACAGCCTTCAAGGCATTTTTTGTTTTTGATCTTAGCTACCCAAAAACATGTGCACAGGTTTGGGAGTTTATTCAGACAGTTATCTTTGGCATCCCAGGCAATGAATCAAATGCAATAAAATTAATGAGAGCCCAATTTGCTGTGATGTAATGATCACATTTTGCTGACTGACCAAAAAGAAAAAGATTTCAAAGTGTGTTCAGTGGTTCCAATTGTTGTGATGGTTACATATATATACCAAAAGAAAAGAAACTTGTGTTTATGTGTAATGTATTTGCCCCAAAATGTTTTACTAGCGATAATTGCACTTGGTATTATATCTATTAAGGATAAAAAAATGTTTAATAAGGAATGTATTTGTTAACTTGACATTTTGTTTTTCATAATTTATTATCGATACATTTCTTGATGCAGAACTCAACCAAAATAAATTATGTAATTTTAAACCATGGTGATACTGATAACCCAGAATTTGGGTTGTATTTTTTCAACCCAGTTTTGGGTAGGGTCAACCCAATTTTTGGGTACAAAGCATAACCCAACATGCTGGGTCAAACCAAAAAACCAACCTGGCTGGGTTAACAAGTAAAATATGGACCGACCCAGCGCTTGGTTACAAAAATAACCCATTTTGGGTTTTTTAAGAGTGCACCTGACCGTGACACAGACACCTGTCGCTCTCTTTGCTGTCTCTGTCCTCCTCGCTCAGAGATACTTTGCTCTGTTTGACTGTCTCTCTGCTCCAGGATGCTTAATTCCCTCTGAAGCGGCCGTGAGCTGCACTTTATCAGAGGTGCTGAAGTGAACATGTGTGTGGATGTGTGGTGATATTTCTGTCTGATCACAAGTATCTCGGTTTTCTACCTCTGATGAAGAGCGGTGAGCTCGTCTCATCCAGTACGGTCCAGATGGGCTCTGTGTCTGTCAGACGGTCTAAAGTTGGTAGCAGCCTACTACCCTATCAGCAGAGCAATAACTCAGGGTAATGCATAGCAGTGGGGCAGGTAGATTTTATTAAAATAGAATGACTTCATTTTCATTATAGCTCCTAGTATTATATCTGAAATTGTTATTCTGCAAATGTCAGAGAACTCAGATATGTGGGAGAGATTTTTCATGTGCAGAAAGTTTTGAACATGAGCAGAAAAGCTGCTGAAACATAGGAACTATTAAGGTGCAGGGGATATTAACTGAATTAAATGAATGAAAAAAACAAACAGGAGAAACATATCTGAAAGCAATACAGAATGCCTGATAGCCTTATAGCACTATATTACACTATATTTTTATTTTTAGAATTGTCACCTAAATTTTGTGTTTCCTTTTATATAAATAAAGACATTTCCTCTATGAATTGGTGCAGAAAAATTCAGGTGCATTCAGAATGCAGGAAATTAAGTGTTTAAAGCCCAAATTTTTCAGGGGGAGGACCCCCAGACCGCCCTCTTAAATTATTATCAGTAGTAATTGTAAAAATCATAATTAATGAATTAAAATGTAGCTCTGACAAGTGGCATAACAAGGTAGCTGTTTTTGAGGGTTGATACAAGTATGTCTCCAGAATACAGGAAATTAAGTATTTAATGTTTAAAATCTTACCCCCAGAGTACCCCCAGACCCCCCTATCAACTATTTCATCAATACATTTTTTCCCCAAATACTAAGCCTATAAAAATATAAAATATATTAAAATTGCTGTCTTGTTGTCATGGCCCCACTATTGTGCAGTAAGTCTCATGAGAGTTTTGTCAAACCCCTAATATAACCCCTTGAGGGCAAGGATGGTGTATTGGTGAGGGATGTCAGACCGATTTTGGTGTGCCGCCTGGGCCAACAATGCCGATTTTTTGTCCCAGTCCAGCCCTGCTGGGAACTGAGTCTGTGGGGATTTGTTACCCTTCACAGAGCAGGATTAGTGGTGACTGAACAATAAACTATGCTGTCCCTTGTAGCAGGCGTCGCTGTCTTACCTCGGGCTCGCCGTTTCGGTCAGCAACACCGTTCAATTCCAAGTTTTCCGTAGCCATCGTGTTACCGCGTTATATCCCGAGTAGGTTGCTCACATTGAGAGCCGCGGGGCTGTGTTCCACACTGTTGATAAAAGACTGCTGCTGTGACGACAAGAGGCATAATAGCTGCAGACGACCGCCCCTCATCATCGCTGCATCAAGCAGAGAGAGCAGGGCAGGAGTGACGCTACACTCAAGCCTGGGAATTCACCCACAGTAGCCTACTTCCCAAACACTTCCCTCAAATCCTGATGTAATGTATAAGAGCCAAGCAGTGTTTTAATGTAGACTTCGGTCGCACATCCACTCAATAAGAGACATCATAGGAAACATGGCTCTTTACTGCCGCCCTGCGTATTAATGCGGTGTTGCACTTTGAAAAAAAGAAGATGAAATCAATTTGATTTCCCCTCGACCCTGTACGCAGCAAGCGGTTGACGATAAATTTGATTTGATTAAACCCAAATGTGTTTAAGGATATGCACCATGTAAATATGTCAACTGAAATATTAAAGGCATTAACGCTAGATTCTTTGTTTCACAGAGCCCTAGAGCCTACGCGACCACATTAGGGCCCATACATCTTAAGTTTTTGATTGTGCTTTGGTAATGCAAATTACAAAAAGAAATGTTAGAGATACTGCAAATGAATTGGCGCATAGACAGCCCAAGTGATCTGGGGCTCCTGTGGCTCTAGGTTCCTTGGGCAACTGCCACACTTTGCCTCACTTTTAATCCAGTCCTGAGTATAAATTGTACTTTTAAGTAGTCTAATGTCGTTTGTTTATGTATCGTAAGGGTCTTGTTCTCAGACACAGAAGGCTGCCTGGCTTGCTTTATTTGACAAAGTATAATGCACAAATTCACCTCTTGATTACTGTATATCATCATTATATAAATCCCCCTGGGCCCACAACCAAATTCAAACCATGTAAAAACCACAGAAATATGTCTATGCAATCCACTACTCCGCCTAAATCCTTCCATTTTCATAATCTTTCCCGAGTATACAACCAGACCAGCCATATAAATGCTTATGTGTTTACCCCATTGATGTGATATGTACTATGAGCTCTTACTAGTATTTATTGCTGCTCTTACTAGTATGTATTGTCAGTTGTAGATCTGTATTTGATGCTCTGTTGATGCTTGTATGTTGTTCCTCATATGTAAGTCGCTTTGGATAAAAGCATCTGCCAAATGAATAAATTTAAATGTAAAAATTTAATTACTATCATTATCTCTAAAGTGCTCATTCATACAGTAGCCTAACGTCCCTATTCATGAGTAAAATATTAATATCAGATTTGCAGCAAATATATTGAAGTAATAAGCTTGATACACTACATGAATAAAAACACTTTTCAACCAATTTAATAATAATCTGGATCAAGCCACCAAGTTCTAAAATAACTCCAGCACAGACAGAGGAACAGAGTAATAAACACATATAAACGCAGCAGTTTGGCAGTTCTGGACGCAGAATGGGCCACATCAGGTCCTGATTCTGCAGACAGAGAAACACACATGAGCACATCGCTCTCAAACACGGCCAGGTTGTTCACCAGTCACGAGCTGTGAAACAACAGGGTATAGTTATGTTGCGTTCTCTTCTCTGGCGGACCTGGATCAGCTGTTAGCTGTTTACAGGGCTAACGCTAACGTTGCTACGTGGCTGTGTTTGAATGTTTTAATGACACAACACTACTCCGCTTTTGTCCTATGTTGTTTCCATCTCTTCACATTTTATGATTCTGTGGTATAAAACAAACTCGTAAAAGTAAAAAAAACCCAAAACAAATATGTCAAGCCTGACACACAGAATGAAAATATATTTCCCTAACCTCCACCTCTGTGACCTCAATTCCCTGAAAAAAAATCATAGACCCATTTAATTTGTCAACTTACTTCTTCTTTTCAACTCAGATAGCTCTGACAAGTTTTGGAGTTTGAACTCAACTGTATGAGTTTTATAAAGTTAAACTTGCATTAATTCATTGTGTTGACTTTGTCGTGTTGATTGAACTTGCATATAAAGTTGAAAAAAAGGTGAGTGTGTGGGGATGGGAGCTAGAGAAAAAAAATTGCCTAGGTGCTTTTGAGTTTGAGAGAAACATGTACATAATCAAATAATTATTAGGGTTTAGCGAGTACACGGCTGAAACGAGTATTCGGTACAGATACTTTTTATGAGTATCATCAGAGTAAAATGTGTCAGTATCTGTTTTGTTATAAATAGTAATAATAGGAACCTTTTTTTTTTATCAATTACTATTGTGATCAAAAACATTGCTCTGAAGCTCAATTCTGAGGCTGTTCTGTAAATAGTTTTCTAATAAATATAGCAACTTCTGATACCAATTTCAGGCTTAAATAATTTCCAGTTAGTCCCGCCCACTTCTAGATTAAGTCCCACCCATTCTGATTATGGATACAGAAACTTTGTTGAACAAATACAGATACAGATAGTGGTGTACTTGCTTATCCCTACTAATTATACACTGCAGTGTATAATTAGTCATATAAGTCATATATTCAAATTCCAACCAAAATATAGACACTTCTGTGGTAAACAAGACTAGTGCTACTGGTGGAGGCGGCGCCTGACAACGGCCTTAAGGCCCTTTCAGAAAGGAGGTGATATCTGCTGTTATTTTGAACTTTGACTGCACTGTGCACGGGAGCTTGAGTGGTGCGTTGCTCGACGCACCAATAAACTGCCCTGCCGTATCGCAAGCCGTTCAAGATAATAGCGCAGCGGTGCTTTTGTCGTGGTCTGTCTACAAGGCCCTTTATACATTTAAACTGAAACAAATTTGGAATTTAAATCCCTTAACTTGAAATGGAAAGTAATATTATAATATTACTTATATTATAATATTACTGTATATTATTATAATTATTTATATTAAAATATTATTATACTTATGTTATAATATTATAATATTACTTAAAACAACATAACCAACTTATAAGTTGGTTATGTTTTTTTAACTTTAAACTATGAGTTATAATAACTTAAAGTATGAAGTTGAAGTTATAAAAAGTTCATTTAACTATAAAAACAACGTTAAGACCACTAAAACACTGTAGTTATATCAGCTTTATGAACTTGAATTTATGAGCTCAAACAAAGGCAATCTTCACGTTAAAGGTTCAGTGTATAATATTTCTGAGGATCTACTGACAGAAATGCAATTTATTTATTTATATTTTTTGCCTCTGTTAAAGCACCATAATCTGGCAGTGGGCCAGATATTATTGTTGCCGGGCAGTTTGGCCATGGTCCAAACTCACTGAGAGAATTAATGTGTTTCCCTTCTCAATGTCTGTATAAACTTTATTTAATATGTGGTTTATAATGGACTGTGGCCCAGAAACAGTGACAGTGTTTCACACTCTTGGCTTACATTTTCCATGTTATCTGTCAGTGGCAAAGTCGCAGTATTATATGGTTTTATTGAATAATTAAGTAAAGATAATTTTAATAAATATACCTAAAGGAATCTCATTTCTTGACTGGCCACTCTCTGTCTCAGAAGAGACCTCTTTTGTGCTGTGTCAGACACCGTAGCTGTCTTACCCTCTTTGAAAGGTTAGGGGGCAGTGGTAGGCTGGATAGAGTGTTACAATTCACAACCCTCACCACTAGATGCCACTAGATCTTACAAACTGAACCTTTAAGTTAACTTGCATTTTCAAGACAGCAGGTGAACTTGCATTTCCAAGTTTAACTAACTTGCAATGTCTTATATTTAGTTATCTTAACTTAAAAATGTGAGTTGAAAGGGTGTTTAATTGTATGTTTGTTTGACAAGAGAAAGCAACTTTCCCTGAATGGACAATTTAATATATATCCATCCACCCATCCATCCATCCATCGTCAACCGCTTATCCTGTGTACAGGGTCACGGGGGGCTGGAACCAATCCCAGCTGACATCAGGCGAAAGGGTACACCCTGGACAGGTCGCCAGTCCATCGCAGATGTAATATATATAGTTGTTTTAACTCACAGTATTAAGTAAAAAAAAAAAAAGATCATTAATCAAACAAATTGTATAATGTAACAACATGAGTTGAAACAAAGCTTTTCTTAAAGTTGAGTTTACTCACATTTTTAAGGCAGCAATTGAACTTAAGTTTTTAAGTTGAAGCACCTTGATCATTTTTTACAGTGTTCCACTTTTCCCCCATGTATTTACTTTATTTATTTACACTACATTTGTAAAGGTGATACAATGTTACACAACAGGGAGAAACTTTAGATTAATACCTACCTCACTACTGTGGCAATTTGTTACAATAACACACAAACTAAACTAACCATTTAGGCAACAGTGCGGAAAGCTGTGAATGATGCCAAATTACTAATTCCTCTATAGTATTTATTAAATTTCCTTCATTGTATTAATCATGCAGAGAGGAAATGTTTTTTTTATTAGAATTAGATAGTTATTTATATCACATGACCACATTTTGTTACATCAGTGGAAGGCCCTGTAGCTTTAAGACAAAGCCTTAGTGTTTTATATCTTTAAAGGCCTCTATCAAAGCCTGTGATGCAGCAACGCACTTTTAGTCAGGTCTTTGTGGGTTCGCCTACACCTTTAGTGATGACAATCATAATGTAATAAAGCTTTATGTCACAAAAAAACACAAGGAATTATAAAATGTGGCAGTGTATTTTAAGTCCTATTTTAAACTTAATTTTATTGGTGTACTAATTAAGATTTGAAAATAGCCTTTTAAACGTTGTTTATTTGTTTCACATTGTAACTCACATGGAAATATGTGAAATAGGTTCTAGAGGCACACAACTTGCAACACGTTTACTGCAGTAAAAGTGTGCAGGGATACAAGAAAGTATCTTACTAGTAAAAAAAGTAACTCCCCAAACAATAATATTATTTGGCATAGGCCTAATTCTAAAACACTGCATGCTGTGTTTCATAGATAAATTACTAGGGAGAGAACGTCACAATCTTATGACTACTGAATGAGTCTCATTAGCCTCCCTCCACGGTGGTCCATGTAGGTTATGAGTGTTATGGGGTCCGGTGCGTCTGATTCTCTTGTTAATTCCTAGCAGCGGGATCCTTGTTGGTCGGGTAGGCTTTAACAGACATCTTCCCATTGGAGGCTTAGCGCGTCACTATGACAGTGGTGTGGTCCACGCAGCCTGTGTCAGGGGAGGCTGAGGGTGCCGCCTAAAAACGCGCCGAGGTATTGGATGCGTGTTGTTGCTAGGGGCGTGGGTTGTGCCGTGAAAAATCTAGTTTTCCCAAAGCTGAAAGAAGTGAAATGTGGGAAGACAACAGTCGTATCAGCCGGACGAGAGCTGCCTGCTCCGACAAACCTGCGGGACGCGGTGCCGCAGTGGACATAATCTGATAAGCGCTTGTGTCCATCCTGCATGCCACACCAGAGAGAAACAAAGTAGGCTACGTGCGGATAATTAAAGGAAGAATGCAGAGAGGCTGAAGTCACACTTCTCGGAACTTATTCAGATTTTCACCCGGAGCACCTGCTTCTTATTTGCATCAGCCAGAGCCCGGGTTGGTGAGTCTTTGCAGAGGCTGACAGCTGCGCACTTGGTCGTCCCGTGATGTGTCTTTGGGGGGATTAGTGAGTGTAGCCGAAACATCCCGACCTATCCACTGTAGGCCAGTCATCTATCTGCGGAACGAATCACATTTTCATAGTAGGCCTATGCTACCTTATGGGCTACGATGTGGAGGAAACTGATTTCGTGAGCTCACAGGCTGAGCTGGCAATGACATCAAGCTTAACTTGAATAGCCCTCTGCGCTGTATTGCACCAAGGTGGGCCGGGGCGTGAGGTGCCAAGGAGCAATGCACCCATCCTCCGAGCTGGACGTTTTGTGGACATGCTCTCTGTCCTGAACAAATTCAAGGCATAAGGCCATACATCCTGAGCCGGCGAACTGCGTCACTGCTTGCGAGTGTTGCAGGTATAAGCAGCAAACTCTCCCACCGCCGGGAGAGGAGCATGCTCATCATCCTCCCTCCCTGTACAATGTCGCCGGTAAGTGTTTAACAAGTTAAGAAGGGATGGATTCGGCGGACGATTCAAGAAAAGATCCGCCACTGGGATCCACATTTTCCTCGGTGCCTAATTTAGATTCGGACGTTAATGCAAATGCCCGTAGGCCTGTTTATGAAAATGGGACAGACCACAATGTCAACATCCAAAACGGAGCCCAGCGGGGGGCGAGTGACCCCAGCGCGTACCCGTCCAATGACTACCAGGGGCTGATCCGCCAGAGGTTCATCCGGCGGAGCTTGTGGGTGTCAGACTCCGAGGAGCAGCCGGTGGACACGCCGGATTGTGTCAACAGCAGCCCGGTGCTCAACATTGACCTGCGGACCATCGTTGATCGGAGTCGGACCCGGGTTCTGCAGGGAGCCCGGCTGGGCCTCCAAGAGACCTCAAGCAGGGAAAGCCAGGTGGAGCTGAAGGACAGCGCCACAGAGAGCGCGAGCGCCGACGAGGATAAGGGAGACAGGGGCGTGAGAGAGACGATTGCAGAGGTTGTTCCCTCGGATGTCACAGGTAAAGCAGGAAGTGACGAGAACGAAGAGGAACCCGGGATGAAGGCCGTGTCCACTTCACCTGGGGGCCGCTTCCTCAAGTTTGACATTGAGCTGGGCAGAGGGTCCTTCAAGACCGTCTATAAAGGTCTTGACACCGACACCTGGGTCGAAGTGGCGTGGTGTGAACTCCAGGTGGGTTCATCGATCATTCAAGCCCAACATCAATCAAACCAATAATAGGTCTGTTAACTGGGATCTGTAGCGCTGCACTAAAAATAGATCCTTTATTAGTATGCAGTCTTGTGCACAGGTTGCCTAGGGTCCAGAGGACACTCAGGGGTCTTTCTGGATGTGTTCTGTTTCCCCAGAAAACAAAGGATTAGTTTAATTACTCTGTAACTTCATTCATTTGGAGATGAAACAGTGATATGTGTACATTACCAGATCATATCAAACTCTCAGGCCAGGGTCCATCAGGTAAAATAGTGTTAATAAAGGGTCCATGGCACATTCACTGCTTTGACATTAACTGCTTAGAGCAGAATGACTTCAAGTCAAGAGGAAAAGGAGAAGACAGGTGTCTTGTTAACGCTGAGTGACGCAAAACTAAATGATGACAAGATTTAGGCTTTATGAGGGAAAGCTGGTGCAATGTGAGCACTGACAAAAAAATAAAAACCTAAGACAGGTCTCTTCCTCCTCACACTGCACTGTGAACATTATCGCAATGATACTTCTCCTAGGAAACAAATATTTAAATGATGGCTCATTAACAAAAACATTATGGAAAACGAATGGGGTATCTTATCTGGGTGCTGCCCAGAATAACATTTCAGCAATATGAGATTAGAAAAACTGTAGAAGACTCTTTTGATAAAAAAATATCATTACAAAATATCACTATCATCAATGAGAAAGAAGGCTATATGTTATGCAAATGCCTGTGACTGCTGACTGGTTAATCAGTTTTACCCTGCTCCTGACTGACAAGTGGCTGTACCATTAAGAGGCAACAAATAACCATAAAAACCCGACAATAATCCATATCCACTCTTGGATGTTGAGGCATTTATTGCACCTTAAACAGTTTTCACTCCTTATGCACAGTGGGAATTTTAGCATGGTGCTAACGCATAGCTTTATATCAGTGACAGCTTAGTGTGTCAGTAATCTGTGTATGTGGTCATCTAATGATCAGTTTAGATCCATGTGATATACAGATTAGCCTGCAGACAGACCTGCAGACAGTGGTTGCCCTTTCAGGGCTCAAAATGTGCTAAGCTTTTGCAGTCTGTCCAGAGCAATAACCTGCCTGGAGATTTCACTAAATGCAGTAATACTTCTGTGAGATTTACTACTTTTATACAGTATTCTCCAAAAAACCTAGTTCAAAACAGAATACACGGTGGACACATGCACAGGCTTCAATCCCAACAAAATTGTGTCTGAAGTTTCTGATACGCGAGAGACATTTCTTAATTTCCTTCCATTTTTACAGATAGTTCATATCTTTGCTACAGTCATACTATGGTTATTGTCCTAAGAATATATAAAATACTTGATTGAATTGTTCAAAGCAAGTCTATAACAGTGTTTTTTTCAGCAGTAGGCCTATGCTATTTTTCCCTGTATACTCTCAGTATACTGAAGGCCAAAAAAATATTAAATTATCATAATGAGAATAGAATTTGTGACTGAGGCACAGCCCTGCAGTGTGATTTTATAGATTTAGTGTGACTTCAGAGCAATTCAAACACAGTTGAAGCTTTTTTTTGTCTTCCTACTCAGGCAGAATCCAGGTTCGCAATGTACGGCTCGAGGGAATAGTAATAAAAATTACAGCCCAACTCATTGTGCTTATCTCACAGCTCTTGTTAGTAACAACACAGGTCTAGATTAGAATGAGGCAGAAACAGAAGTTTCTTGTTGTGTTGATGTTAGCACCACATCATACATGTAATGAGGCTCATTTGGATGTGAAACTTCAAATAGGTCTTGTAGGAATTAATCAAGATGTTGTCTCCTGTTTATATCCCACATTTCAGCCCCGGCTCTCTGCGTTTGTTACTTGAATTCTATAACATAGTATTGAGTAATACTCTGTTTTGTACTCAGTATTTTCATGTCTTCTTACCAACCATATATCTTTAATCCCTTCTACATTATTAACTGTTTCTAGAGGATGTACTTTTTTTGAATGTGTATCAGTAAAAGGCATGTATCATGCAGGATGATCACTACAGCAAATATATATCTACAGTGTGTGCGTGTGTGTGTGTGTGTGTATTTGCGTCTGAGCGGGTTCTTAAGGGAGATCTAATGATGATTCAACCATTCTGTCCCTGGAGGTGAGGCCTTGCCCTTCAGAGCTTCCGTGTCTGCGTGCCCCCTCACAAAAAGCCACCATAACCATAAAACCTGTTCCCTTACTGTCTGTACTGTGCGTGTGTTTGGGGATAAGACTAAGAGTGAGACAGCAGAAAACAGATATGCTCATAGAAGGATTTAGAGATCGTATTTGAAGAACTGGAGTCGAGCAAACCGGGCTGCTAGTACTGGTACTTATTTATCCAGTAAATGATGATCAAATATTTACTGAGCAAGTTCTTTTTACCAAAATTAGCAAATTATGCAACATGATTCAGTGAAATGCCAAAACACTTGACGGCTTTGGGATCTGTGTCTCACTGTTGTGTTATATGTCTTGTTTCATTGCTTAGTAATGAATAATAAACATGGATTTATCCTCCTGTGTTATTACCACACAGATGTGCTTGGAGAGTGAATCCTGCTGATGCAGCCCTCTGCACCAAGACAGAGAGAGAGAGACGAGAGAGAGAGAGAGAGAGAGAGAGAGAGAGGGAAAGGGTTGAGCTGAAGACAAGCATGCAAGACCTGTAGTATTTGTTACACAGCAAGACAAGGGTCCTATATTTATTTTATTTGCAACATTGTGTCCTCACTACTCCACACTTCATTAGGTGCTGTATTTTCATACTCAGTAGTAGTCTCAGTAGAGCAGATTCTGTGTTGTAAGTGCCACACCCTGCTTAGATTCGCTCTTTGCAAAGAATTCTTAAAGTTCTGAATATAAACTGACATATATAAACTGAAATATATTTGTTTTTAGTAAGAATCAGCATTATGAGGGTAGCTAAAGCGGGAAGTGTATCCTTCACAGTGCTGCACGAAATCTAAGATGCATTAGGCTGCGCACTGCATAGGTCAATATGGGCTGTGAATGAAATCTGATTCCCCGGCATCAGTCAATAATCAATGCCAAGAGACATACAGTAGATTGTCCCAGACATTTAAAACACGAGATGCAGCCTCATTGTCCCAGACATTTAAAACACGAGATGCAGCCTCATTGTTACCCTTAAAGTGTGTATAATGAGACAGCAGGAGAGAAAATCTGGAGGTCATGTAGCATTTGTCGTGGCCGAAGCCTCTGGGTTGTATCTGCCTTGCTGACTGCAGAGAAACAGGAATGTAGCGGATGTTCACTGTCAGCTGTTTTACTATTTATACAACAGGGAAAGCAGGGGCCAAAATATTGATCCAGTACACACAGATTCACCAGGCTTGTATACCCAAAGATGGAAGATTTTACACAGTAACTTTTTAAAACACTTTTTTGGGCCTTGTGATAGAACATTACTTAGCTCCAGCTTGCCAGTATAAACTCTTAATGGTCTTTTTTTTGCATTCTATTGTTTCTACCAGCAGCTGATTTGGCATTTACTGATTAAAATGCAATTTAATCTTTAGTTAAGCTGTCATGACAGATGTGCCTGTCTCTGTATCGCACCAGATTAAATAAGGCTAACCCTGAAAATGCAGTTAGGATTCCATTCATAGTTGTGATGTGTTTTTAGTGCTGTGTGCTTTATTTACAGTGGTGGTGAAAAAAAACTATAAATGGTTCATACCCCCAGATGTTTACCCGCTGAAAATGCCAAAATTGTGTTCACTCCAAACATGAGCCACTGCCAGTTCTAACAGAGCTCCACTCCTAAAGCAACACCAGCCTATTTAAGGTTGAAGATAGTGTATTTCTTCCATTGCCGCTTTATATAAGAAAAACACTGAAAATGATGATGAATCTGCCCCTCCTTCCTCCTCCACAACCCCTCAATCCTGTTAAATTTGGACAAATCCACTGCTGCTCTGATAAGGCTCCAGAATACTAGAGGGAAAAAAAGAGTGGGCGAACTTGCAATCATTATTTCTCATTTTTAAAAATTAAGTGTCTTCTACTTTTTTCTCCAGGAAAGGAAACTGTCCAAAGCTGAGAGACAGAGGTTCAAAGAGGAGGCAGAGATGTTGAAGGCTCTCCAGCACCCCAACATTGTGCGATTTTATGACTTCTGGGAATCACCGGTTAAAGGGAAGAAGTGCATCGTTCTGGTGACAGAGCTAATGACCTCAGGGACACTAAAAACGTGAGAGTCAATTAGAAAATACAAGAAAAATATTTTCTATAATTATCTTTACCGGTATTAGAGATACCATGGTATCCTCCCTATCTCAGCTCATATGTGTCCTTATATACTTTATACCTGACTGCAAGTCACTGATGGTAAGACGCAAATATTAGTCTCCTAATGCTTCTATTAGTCAGTTTAACTGTCTACATCATGTGTATCAAGTTTCACACCACTGAATGACAACATTACAGTAAATCTAATGCTAGACTGTTAGAGACTGAAACTCCAAGAAGTTGTTCATGTTTTTAAAAAAAGAATCATTTGTGATTTTACCATTGTTTTTCTTGCTCAAAACCTAATTTAAAAAAAGAACAAATTAATCCAAAACACAGTACGGGCAACACAATGGGAAAAGGTTTTCAAGCAGTCAATATGAGGAGATTAGTTTGACAATAGAAGAGTCATCTGGGATTCATATTGACTGTGTGTTTGCTTAAATAAAAGCAGTAACAATTTGCAACACAGAAACGGCTCAATGAAAACATTTTACCCGAACAATGACTAGTGGGGACATACCTTCATATGTTAAATTTGTCTATAACCACTTGGTGTGTGTTTTAAATGCAAATGTCTTTACCTGGTGACAACTGGAACATCTCTATCATGGTGTGTTTATTTCCCCACAGGTATCTGAAGCGTTTTAAGGTGATGAAGCCTAAAGTTCTTAGGAGCTGGTGCAGACAGATTCTCAAGGGCCTCCACTTCCTCCACACAAGGACCCCTCCGATCATCCACAGAGATCTCAAGTGTGACAACATCTTCATCACTGGTCCTACAGGCTCTGTCAAAATAGGAGACCTGGGCCTGGCAACACTGAAGAGGGCCTCCTTTGCTAAAAGTGTTATTGGTTAGTCATCAGCTAGTCAGCAATATGCTGCTTTATTGACTTGTGACTATTTATTTTAAACCTGCAATAGTTTTTTGGGGGGTATTCAGGGACAGCAGAAACAAGTAAAACACAACACTGACATATTACATTATTTTTAAAGCAGAATTATCTGTCTCTTTAGCTGTTAAATGCTCTGCTATATTCACTAGCTAGTCGCTAACCATGTCTGTTTGCTGTTTGGTGCAGGACAGTTAGTGTGCAGTGGCTTTTTAGAGTTTTTTCACTGAAAACAGCTGCCTGCTGCTGCCAAAAATAACACTGAGGAAAGAGGTGAGAGTGCCAAAACAGTAAAGGTGTAGCAGTTAAACCAAAACAATGACCTCAAGGACAAAGGGAAAGCTCTGTAGATCTGAGGGGAAATGCAAAGTCGAGTGATATTTCTCTTTTTGTGATCCGTTGTTAAAAAAGAAATACTGATTATAGATGCTTTAAACTGTTATGACACAATTATGTCTAAAGAATCACAAAACAGATATTTTTGTCAAAGAGTAACATCCTGTTGTTGTGTTGAAGTTGCTCCAAAAATCCAATATTTGCAATTTTCTTTTCTTTTTCTTTTCTTTTCAGCTTCTTTCTTGTCTGTCATTCTGGGAATCATGTATTAAGCCGCTGTGCTGGATTACAGTGATCCCACTGAAATATGATGAAACACTGATAACTGCATGTCAGTGTATAATTGATCTCCCACTCATTAATTCTCCAGGCACTCCAGAGTTCATGGCCCCAGAGATGTATGAGGAACACTATGATGAGGCTGTGGATGTCTACGCCTTTGGGATGTGTATGCTGGAGATGGCCACCTCAGAATACCCCTACTCTGAGTGTCAAAACGCTGCTCAGATTTACCGTAAAGTCACCAGCGTGAGTTCACATTTAAAGCTGTTCAGCTCTGTCATTGCTATTACAACTGTTTCAGTCAGTGTTAGAAACATTTTTAAATACTTGTTTGCCACACATTTCTTCTTAATTCTTATTTCTTGTTACAATAAGATAATGTAATTTTCATAAAGCAAGGTTAACTGTTTTTAACTAAATTTTGCTACTATTAATTATTTTCAGTCACTTAATCAGACATTTGACTGACTATATTTGACTGACAAAACATGCAATCACTAAAATGTTAGAACTGATGACATCTGTCCGCCATATTTAGCCAAATTAAAAGTAAATCTTCTCAAATTTAGTATGACCAGCAGCCAAAACCAGCATTCAATTTATAGTGATGAAAAGAAATATGAAAGCAAATATTCACCTTTTGCTGGACAGCAGCAGCTGTGGCTACAAAATGACAGTGAAGGAATAATGCTAAATGTTAAAATACGGTAAACTACAGTTTATAATGTAACTAAGATGCTAAATGTTACCGTAGCAGATGTGGAGAAGGGTCATAAAGTCAGTGAACTAACTCAGCAGTATTTACCTATTGGGTTAGGGTTAGTTAACATTAGGTAACATTAGCCACATTAGCTAATATTAGCCACCAAAACCACTTGTCATGCCAGAGCAGGTAATGCTGCATTAAACTGAGCAAGGGTTTAGTTTCTTGGGAATTCAGCTTTTCATTTGAAAGAAGAAGAATGTTTTGTTTCTTCTTTCAGTGGTTACGTAGTCTCACTTTAACCATAAAATTAGTATTTTAATTTCATAAATAACCCCTATAATTATCTAGTTATCATAATTTTAAGCACTTCTTTCGAGGGTCGACTTATAACTCAGCTAATCGTTCCAGTGCTGCTGAAGTCCTCTTGTATAGCAGTAGCTTTTTAATCCCCAGAGATGTGATGTCTGGGAGAAAATGTATCTTGCAGAGTCTGTATTTAATGTTTTATGACACTGCAGACATTACTTACTTCCTCGGTTACACAGTCGGGCGCTAAGTACTTCTATTTTCAGTGTGTCAGTTTGTAAACTGAGACATGTTAATCCCTGTTTGTTTTGCAGGGAGTGAAACCTGCCAGCTATAGTAAAGTCAGTGACCCAGAAATTAAGGAAATAATCGGGGAATGTATCTGTCACAGATGGGAAGAAAGGTAAGTGAACCAGGACTTTTGATAGTGTCTCAAGGCTCTAGAGGTATTTTGTGTGTAGGTAGAGATTGATCCTTGCTTCAACACCATGTTGTTTGTTTCTGTTCCTGCAGTGTGACATTAATGCCAGTATTTGGCTCTGGCACAGTTAATGTTTCGGTGTGTTGTGCATAATTAGATTTTACTTTCATAGTGGCCTTAATGGCAGGTGAGTTGCTGGTGTTTTTGTATTCCCTGCAGGTACTCTATCAAGGACCTCCTGAACCATGCATTCTTTGCAGAGGATACAGGCGTGAGGGTGGAGCTCAATGAAGAGGATGATGGGAAGAAATCATCCATTGCTCTGAAGCTGTGGGTTGAGGATACTAAAAAGCTGAAGGGGAAGTACAAGGACACTGGTGCCATTGAATTTACCTTTGACTTGGTGAGCGAGGTCCCAGAAGTTGTTGCCCAAGAAATGGTAAATATTTTGAGTTACTGAAAGAATCATTGTATATGGTAAAAATAAACAGACAGTAGTTGTAGAGTTTGACTTTTTCTTTAAAGAGGTGGTATTATGCTTTTTGGCTTTTTCCCTCTCCTTTATTGAGTTTTATGCATGTAATAGGTTTGCAAAGTGAAAAAGCCCAAGTCCACCCCAAAGGGAGTTCCCATCTCCAACAGAAAACTCTGCTCTGAACTGCATGAAAACAGCTCGTTCGTAGTCCAGCCGCTTCCCTTTCATCCTTGTGACGTCACAGGGATGAAAGCTAAATGCACCTCATATAACGAGAAGGGTCCAGCTGCAGCCTGCAGACAAACGTGACGGAAGTTGACGGAAGTTGACGAAAGCTGAACCTCCATATATAGTTTGTCCCAGAAGGCACCGCGAACAAAATGTGATGACGTTTATGTCGGCCGCTTGGCCAGTGCATAGGTCAAGTGTCAACGTAGTAATCAGTGTACATATATATATTAATATTATATATATGTTAATATTTACTATAATTATATATTATTAATATAGTATATTAATACTATAATTCCTGCAAATATTTATTTATTATAGCCTAAAGATAATAATAGCATTGTTTCAATTCTTACCACTGTTGTTATATTTTATTTGTTTCAAAGTGATTTTAAGTTTCACGAACCAAGAATATTCTGTAGTGTTACATCACGAGTCAGATGTATCTTGATTTCGGTTAAAACTTTACATTACTGAGAATTTAATGACAGAATAACAGCAGTACGAACATTAACAGTATTGTTCAGCTGTTGCTGGACACATCTGCTGTGTTGGCTGCAGTGGTCTGTGTGACTGGGCCTGGGGGTGCTAACCGGAGCTAGCTAGCTAACTATTCCTGACAGCCCCCCAAAGTATATTACTCTTACCCTAACCATCACAGGGTGTGTGCCTAAAGTTAATGATTGTATGCATGTCGACCAGTTAACCCTACAGCACCAACCTGACAACACCATATTTGGAAGTTTAACTTCCATCTGGTCTGTGGGCTGCAGCTGGATATACTTGCATATAACGCTCGCCAAGCTGCTACTCTGATACGCCCTCAAAAACACCGGTGGAAAAACACTGAGCTGCAGCACACACCTCCTCTCCCTTCCAAACACTAGCTACCCTCCAGGCAGTCAATGGACATGAAGTTGTTACTGTGATGTAGAGACAGAGCTCAGTTAAAACTTTTTAGATGAAAGATACATTTGTTACAGATTAATAACTCACCACTCTGAAACTCTTGCTCCAGTCTATGTCGCTAAGCTGGTCGGCAACATGTACAGCTGAACCGAAGCCGTGTTTGCTTCTCACTGACCCACCCTTCTCTGCTTCTGATTGGCTAGTAGTCCTTAACTAGGAACTGCGCTTGTGCAACTCCCAACAAAGATCATTTAGAGACAAGATGTATCACTTCATAGCTAAAATGAATCCTTCAACACAGGGTGAAAAAAAGGAGCTGCAGCAATGTGCAGTATGAAAAAATATATGGTGTTATTTGAAAATTAAACCATGTAAACCTGTTCTAAATAAGATTTTGAACCTGAAAATGAGCATAATACCACCTCTTTAAGGTGCTGGATGGTAACTTTATTATTATTATTATGTTTTAGTAAGTTAGAGGTATGAAACCAGGTGTTACAAGAAAAAGATTGACTCCCTTTGCCTTAGACTGGTCTGGATGTCTCTGCTCTCTTTTGACCTTGGCATTTGTTGGTACGAGCCAGACTCTTTCCACAAGCCGGCTTCATTTGTCAACTCAGCCATAGACTTGGAAAATGCTAGTTTCTGATTGGCTGGTAGGTGTCTATTAAAATCCATTGACAATTCAAAAATAGTTGTAGGAACATTAAGCTGCAGGAAACATAGCAACGATGCTTGTGCTTTGTGCTACACCACCAGATAACTCTCATTGGTGAAACAGGATGGTAAACATAATTTCTTATTTTGCTTGTGATAACTGTGGCATAAGCATAATAATACACAATGAGTACACAATATCAGTACATCTTGTTGTGGATTATTAGTATCATTTCACTACATACTGTAGGTTTCTGTATGTAGACTAAGTATCTTGCTATAATGCATCCGTCTTTACTTTGTAACACAACGTTGCGTCCTTTTAATTAGGTGTAATGTTACCAGGAGTTAGTTTGTGGTCATGTCTGTAGTAGTAGACTTGAGGCGTGTACTGTATTGACTGAAACTAGAGCAACTGATCAGTTGATCTTTGCTCTTCTTTGTAAATGTACGAGAAGGCATTAAAAAGCTTTTCTTTATTAGTTCAGGGGAAGACCAGAATGTATATTTGTTGATTTATTATAAAAGGTGTTGAATGACAACCATTACCTGGTTTGTTCTGAGCTACACCACTCATCTTACCTGTGTCCTGTAGGTGGAATCAGGGTTTTTCCTGGACTGTGATGTAAAGGTAGTTGGGAAGTCTATCCGGGACCGCGTGGCTCTCATCAAATGGAGGAGAGAGCGGACTGTCTCGTCAGGTAATGGCGAGGCGTCTGTAAAGAAGACACAGCAGAACCTACTGCAGGTGCCCGGTACCGGTGTACCACAGGCAGCTACATTAGCTACAACAGAATATGATGACCAAGAAGCGGAGCAGCAGACCCTGATCTGCTCCGTGCCCGCCACCACATCTACTACATGTGAGAACCTACAACTAGAAACAATCATGAATGTACCGTAGATCATACAACTTCTGTCTCTGGTAATAAATCCAAGACCTGTCTGAACTCACTCAGTCATTAACAGGAAATGACACTGACTATGACTTAAAATGATTAAATTGGTGGTTGTGAATGTAAGAGAGAAACAGAGAAAAGCCTCTGCAGCGTCTGAGTAACACCTATTAGTCAGCAATGAGACATCATCACCCACCATTTGAATTTTAATGAGATGCTATTCTCCCTCTGCCCTGCCTGAGGTTCTGTCCTTGCTACAAAGGGCATCGTGGTGAATTATAATGTTTTATTCCCTCTGTTATTACAGCTGACAGTGGAGCGAGCTCTGCCATGCAATTAGATGATCTAAACAATCAGCAAAATGGCCTCTACCAGTCGCTTACAGAACCCATTTCCACAACTCAGATGATCTACAGTCCTCCTACACAGGCTGAACCTCAACTGCACCAGGGGCCCTACCAGCAACCCACAGCACAGGCCTCACATGAAAACTACACACAGACATCCACTCAATTACACCAGGGGGCCTACCAGCAAACCACAGGTCAGCTGCATCCTGGGGCCTATCAACAATCTGCAGCACAACTGCACCAGGAGCCTTATCAGTCTCAAACAGTGAGTGAAAGCATTTCTTATTTCTTTGGAAACCTTCTTAAATCCTTCATTTTGGGTTTTTTTCTGAGTTCTTTTCTAAAATAACAACATTTGTATTTTTTTCTTTGGAATGATACCTGATCAGCGTCACAACAGTGATCCCTTTGTATGCCATGACAACCTGCTCATCACTGAGAGCACAGTGTGTTTTAGGCGTGGAAGCACATCCCTGGTGGAGATGTTACGCTGTAGGACACACTCTCTCGCTAAGACAATGAATCCAAGCCCCTGTCTGTGTCCGTCACAGGATCTGGTTTCAGCAAATAGCACAGAGGTCTCATTGCATGCCACAGACTACCTGTCCTCTAACTCTGCGCGAAATCCATCATTATTAGCTACTCTCTTGCCCCCACATCAAAACTCTCATCATGACTCAGCGAGTGATTTCAATTCACCTCTCCCTCCCCTGAATTTACAACCTCCCTCAGAGCACCGCCTGAGCGTCTCACACAGTCCACAACCCCGCCGCCATTGCAAGGCTTGCATGTCTCTCCTCCTGAGGGATAGGACAAGGGGAGACGGGCCTCTGGGAAACACACTTATACACTCTTTCTCCACAACCCCCCAGTTTACGCCAGTCTTTAAGACAGGCTCATCCACATCTCCTCATCTGGCAAGGTCTCTTCCAGTCACTCTGCCTCCTCCTTTGGCTTCAACCTCTCCCCCATCATCAAACAGTCAAACAACCCGTGTGACTTCACCTTCACATCTTTTTCCACCCTCACAAGTTGTGCTCCCTCGGAGTTTGTATGAAGGTGGTGATCTCACTCTTCTCAACCACTGTCTTCATCACATCGTCGGCCGCAGGACCAGTTCCCCCACCCTCTCTGCTAATCATCCAATGCACAGCCACAGGGAGGTTGGGGGTAGTACATCCTCATTACTTGAGCATATAGATAAGAGGCAGAGCCTGGATGTCCCGCTCTTCCCTAGCCCAAATCTGGACAGGAATCTGCTATTATCACCACATGGCAGTGACGGCAGTCCAGATCCACTGGTAGGTTAGAGAAGGAGGCTTCATGTAGGCTAAACCCTGCGGTAACAGCAGCCTGCTGTATTTTTCATTTTTTACATTCTGCCAGCTGCTTTGCTCCTCTGGCCTTTCCATGATGGTAGCAAAGCAACCCCAACAGTCTCTGCTCCTGCCAAAATCAAAATAAGGGTTTAAATTCTGGTCTCTGTGATAAGTTGGGCAGAAGCGTCTAGCAGCGTACAAATTAATGTGCTAGCACAGTGTATGCAGTATGACTGACGAAACATTAACGCTAAACTTTTCTTTACTATTTTAGCTTGCCTTACTGAACCTTGCCAGCTGATAAAAAAAACCCTATCTCTTGCTTATGACTACCCCTGCTTTGAACATTTTAACCTTGAGCATGATTTGTTGGAGCAGATATACAGACATGATTACTTCATATTATACCTAAAAAACAGGGTCCGTCAAATGTGATCTCTCTCATGTGTTTCCAAAAGACAGTTTCTACTCCAGCTACGCCGGCCCCTATTGTGCACCAGAGTAGACAGACATCACAGAGCTTCCCAGCTGCAGCCCCGACTCCACAGCTTACTGCCCAACCCAGCCAGGAGCAGGTACTGCATGCATCAAACTGCGACAGGCCCTGGCAACAGCTGCAGTGAGACAGATAAAAGCAGAATTAGGAGGCAAAAGTTCAACCCTTGCAACTGCTCAGAGCTGCCTGGCAAGATCATCACAAGTGTGTTTGGATTGCTGGTTGATCTAAACTAAACAGCAGATTTCCGTGGGCTACCTATATGCATACAGGCTACTCCATTAAGGCCGAACACCAACTGTATACTTGTTAATGGTTCTTAATGTATGTTTGACACCCAAAATTACTTATTCTATCATCCGCATTCAGTGTCAACTGTTATGTATGCTATAGTTAATTAAAACGTGCAAACATACAGGAAATTAAGGTGCAATTTAGTGTCACCAGCCATCTAAAAACACGCTGCTTGGCATTTGTGTGTCAGGTGGGTATAAAGTGCACCTGATGTCCCCTTTTAAATGCTTCATCTTGTACTGTATATCTATATATATGTGTGTGTGTGTGTGTGTGGGCTTTTCACGTGGTTTGTGTTTCCTTCTCATTTGTCTTTCCTCCCTTTAGTGTCATCTCCAACCAGCTGCTGTCCTGCCCCAGGTAGAGCCATCATCTCTTACAACTTACTGCAGGCTACAATACATACACTGCAAACCACACAGAATAATTGCATCACAATAAATCTACCTGCCCTGCAGCTCACCTTTATTAAAGTGGAGCTTTTAGAACGAGACTATCTTGTCAGTTTAATTCAGAATTAGTTTGTATTTCCATCACAGAATTCATAAGCACCAGTCAAAGTGGAATACAAATGTTTGATCTCCTTCCTTAGCGGTTATCTGCTGACCAGCCTACATCTCACCTGAGTCCTCCTGACATATCTACCAGTTTTCCACAGTCAGTCTCCAGTGCTCCTCCCCCACTCCTGCCCCTGCAGTTCAGCACACAGGTGCGTTCTGGTGGCGTTAGAAACAGAAGCTCAAACTAAGGTAGAATTTGGTATAGCATCCTACAAAAGTTAATATATGTTACAGGGCTGAGTCATACATAAAGGGCCTGTGTGAATGCCATTTCTATCGACTGGTTGTTCATTTTATATCATTTTCCCTTTTTCTTTCCCAGTTTCCCTCACCATATCCTGTTGTTCAAACAGGGAGCTTCAAGCCCCCTCCCTTTCCTCTAGATCCTCTGCCATGTGCCTACAGCAGCAGTGGCCCTCCTATGTTTAGCTCCCACTACTCACCTTCACCCCACCGCCCCTCCCTTCCTCTGACCCCTCATGCTGCCTTGCCCTCTATGCCTACTCTCGGCACCCCTCAGACTCCTCTGTCGACACCTCAGCACATGCCCTCTATTCAGCTTTTTAGCATGGCCATGTCCCCTGCAGTACCCCAGCAGCAGGGCGGCCCTCCAACATCTCAGACAAACCTTGGTAGCTTCCATACCACCCATCCCTTACCTCTCTCCCAGGTACAAACCACCCCATACCCCGCCCCCCACCCTGAGCAGGAACTGGCTGAGCAGCCTGTCCAGGTGAATATGTGACTCAGTTCTCACTGTAATGGTTAAGGTCATGGGAAATCTATCATACTATGATGGCAATGTGTTTTAACCATTGGTGTAGTGCATGCAGGACATGCATTTGTGGTTTTGGAGGTGAACAATATTTGTATTAACACATGAACAATTCACTAAATGTGCTGTTTTTTTCCAGGTACAGAGGATTGCACCACAGGGGACAGATGTTCACCTTTTGGCTCCAGTTCACCCTGAATTGCCTGCTGTTCAGACTCCTCACTGGGGAAGCAGTATAGATGCAGAAGCTACTGTAGGTGGTCTAGACTTAACTGTAGCCCCTATAGTTCCAGCTCCAGTCCCCGCCCCAGCCTCAATCTCAGTCTCAGCTACAGCCCAAGTTGAAACTCAAGCCCCAGCACAAAGCCAACCACTGGTCCCAGTATCAGCCATGCCTCAAACTGAAGCTTCAACCCTTGGAAAAGACCCAACTTCAGTCCCAATACAAGTTCCATCAGCAGTGCAAGCTTCAGCCTCAGCCCCAGTTCAAATACCAGTTTCGGCATCTGGTCTCACTTATGAATCACCAAAAAGCTCAGACACATCTTTTGCAATTGATAAACCTAAACTCTCAGTCCCAGGTTTAGCCTCGGCCCCAGTTCAATCTGCAGCCCCAGCTCATGCTCCAGCACCTGTCGCAGCTTCAGTCCCAGCTCCAGTTCTGCAGCTTGCTGGCATCCAGACAGCAATCTCAGTGTCTGAGTATGCTGGCCAGGCCACAACTCAGCAAAACGTTGAGTCGACATCTGTGTCTAGCACCCTTCAACAAGAGCCCTGTGTAGAGGTAGGGATCAAGCCAAAGTTTGTACATTTTCAAGTGTAAAACTGATCTATATGTATCTTCTTAAAAATTTTGCCTTTCATCATTAACATCTAATTGTTACTCAGAAAGCATGTTCAAACCACAGGTAGCCTCTCAAGTTACATTCACATCAGTTTTATACCTCATTAAAGTCTCAAATCCCACCTAAAAAATGACCAAATATGCTATCTGTGAAAATAAGGTCAAAAGCTAATAGCATACATTAACATTTAAACTAGTGCCATATAGTCATGATCCATTGTGAATAACTGTTTCACACGTGCCCATTTTTCTGTCTTCAGGATGGGTTTCAGGACAAACCAGTATCTTTACCCAGCTATGCGTATGACAGGCATGTGCCATTTTTTTCACTGACTTCCAGCTCTTTACAGATTCTGTTCTCTTTATAATTTTGTGTGATAAAAATGTGTCACCACCCTTGAAGTGATAAAGTGCTTTTAAATGTTTCCTTTTATAGTCTCAACTCTGACGTGGCATCTGGTAAGGAAACAAGTGACGGCTATGACAGCTTAGCAAGTGGAGGGAAGGGGGACGGGAAACCCAGGAAACACCACCGCAAATCTGCCCGCACACGTTCCCGGCAAGAGAAGACCAGCAAACCCAAACTGAGCATGCTCAATGTGAGTCATGGTGTAATCTGTGACAATTAAAATGACAAAATCTTAATGTGTCTGATTGTAAAGTGTAACCCATGCCCCCACAGGTTTGCAACACGGGCGATAAAATGGTCGAATGCCAGCTGGAGACTCACAACCACAAAATGGTGACATTTAAATTTGATCTGGATGGAGATGCTCCAGAGGAAATTGCCACTTACATGGTTAGTTCTACATTTTACAGTTTTTGCCATTTTTTGCCAGTTATTTTTATGACATAGTTTAACATCTTTACAGGTAGAGAATGGCTTTATCCTGCTGTTAGAGAAGGAGATTTTCATCGACCAGCTGAAGGACATTGTAGACAAAGCTGAAGACATGCTGAATGAAGACATGGAGGGTGAAAGGGCCTCCACTTTGAGTTGTAGTCCTCAACAAGGCCCAGTTTTTGAAGGGCTGGTAGGAGAGGTAAGGGGGGGGGGGGTGTATGAATATAGTCTGAATATATACACACTACACATGCATATACATACAGTAAGTGTAGACATGACTATAAAAAATACAGTGGCAAGCCAAGTAGCAAGTAGTATATTGACTTACACGTTTGTGTATCACTCTGCAGAGTCAGCAGCCTGGAGCACCTCAGGCTGTCTATCAGCAGAATGGTAAAACAAGTGTCTCTTTTAAAAAAATGTATCCATCCTTATGCCTAGTAAATCTTTTTGTTTTTGCAACTTTATTTTTCACATTCACTCACAAGAACATGGGTGGTAATTGTCTGAACTCTTGTATTGCAGTTCTTCACACAGGAAAGAGATGGTTCATAATCTGCCCAGTAGAGGAGACGCCCACATCCAGCCAGGACACCCCATCTGATGGTACAACTACACAGTCTCCTGGGAGTTCAGCCACTCCCCAGCCTACTGAGAGTGGTACTGCAAGGCCGTCCAGAGGTGACTTTGTTTCTACAGAGCAATTTCAGCACAACATTTGACAGCACCATGGAACAATAGCATGATCTTGTGACAGCTGGACAAAACTCTACTGCTCCACTGTGGAATTGTCACTTTAAAAAAGGTTATTTTCGAATCTTTTAATCTTTAATTATTTTCTCTCATCATGTTTGTTCTCCGGCAGAAGAAGGGTCGTCCTCCACGATGTCAGGTGGAAGTGGAGGCTTCACCTATGATGTGTATGGATTCTGTAGCCCTCCGATAATGTCCAACACAGACCCTCTCCTCTTAGCTACTCTGTCTCCCCCTGTGTCTGCTCCCCCGACCCTTCAGTCAGTGTCATCAGTGGAGCCTGCTAGCAGCTCGGTGCAGCCCAGTGTTCATCAGGCCCAGCCAGCCAGAGCTCAAACTTTGCCCCCATCATCCCCGCATACGTCTTTCCCAGTTGATGAGTCACAGGGATCCCCTTTAAGTTCCATCTCCCCGATCCATGCAGCTCAGCAGATGCTCGACATGGCATGTCCTGTTTCTATGGCTGACGAAGTGCCCTGCTGCCCTCTGGTCATGCCTCTGTCTCTGGATGTGAGCGGGTTGCAGAGTGGATCTCCTCTCACTCCTCTTCCACTCCAGGAGCCGGGTGTAGTCAAAGAGCCACTGTCGGTCTCCTACGCCTCAGCAACGCGGAGCGAGCGCCCACAGCAGCCTGTGGTGCTCCACCAGCCTTTTTCCAGCGTAGGAGGGACCAAAGTGCCCTCACTACCCCAGAGCCCAGCGCCATCCCAGCACTGTACAGGGCCCAGTGAGGCAGATGGCGAAGGACGACTGGGCCGCGGGGGTTTTGTGGATAGCACCATAAAAACACTGGATGAGAAACTAAGGAACTTGCTCTACCAGGAATATGCTCCCATGTATCCATCAGGCAGTGCTGCAGAGACACCAGGCTCCGGCACCGAGTACATTCAGTCTCCTCCTGGTCCAGACAGCGCCACAGGAGGGTCAGGAAACAGCACGCCTGGGCCGATGGGGGAGGGACGGTACAGGGCAGGAGAACAGCTGGTAAGTACAATAATTAGTAACTTCTTAAACAGTATACATATTTTAGATAAATTACAGGTGCAGTAAATCCACATACAGTTGAAATTGAAAGTTTATTCTTGACCATGGCACATCCACACAACAATCTCACCACAAGGTCCATTATTAGCTGTTCTGGAGCTTTCGAATTGTATCACACGGTCTTCCTCAGCTGGTCATAGAATTGTAGATGTTCATATTTCCATTTTTTTAAGAGTAGTATGACTTCTTCTCTATGTTGGCTTAACACTTGAGATTTCAATTTTACTCTACACCATTAAAACAGCAGTCGAAAAAAGTTATTTCATTACAAAGTCTTTAGTATTTAGTTTTAATCTGCTAGGGAGGATTATGTCCTATGATTGAAAGCTGTACAATTGCAACTCAATGGGCCATGTGGTTAGATTGTTTTGTGTATATTTGTACACAAATATGCAATATTCAGTATTCAATTAATACACCTATTAATTGAATACTCAATGTTATGTATTTCAGATCATTTTATTGAAAATATAGGTATGCTTCATTATTGTTTTTTACAGACATTACTGGCATAAACAAACCTTCAACAGCAGCAAAAAAAAAACAATTTGGGAGTGATGGAAGAGTGAGCATATTTTGGCAATTTATGTTCAACAATATCTTGCCAGTAAATTGCAAACATGGCAATACTATATAAAGTACATCATCACATGTAATGTACATGTAATTGGTATAGTCTGCCATTAATGCCGGCTTTTCAAGTTTTTGTTTGATAAATTGCCAGATACATATACTCTATGCCATTTGGATACATGGAAATATGCTTTACTTGCATAAGGGATTTGAAGAAAAACTGTACTGCCTATTGTAAGATTTTATGAGAAATATTTAGTTAGACATCATCATCATCAGACCTCATCCTTTTAGGCAATATTAACAGTTATATACTAGGACAGTAATTATTGGTTTGTATTGTAGTTTTCACATGTCTCTGTTGTGTTGTGTCTCCCATCCTGTCACCTCTATTAGCCTCAAATTCCAGAGAGAATGGACAGTTTGAGCACACTGAGTGACTCAGCCGTGTGTGGTATGTACAGCAGACACTATTCAATCTAACAAGACTGGCATCATTAACGTCTAACTGATCTTGTGTTTTACTTTAAGTTGATGACTGCAGTGCAATTGTTTTTCAATTTTTGCAGCTTCCCTGTCAAGAAGACACGTTCCTCACTCTGCATCCTGCTCTGGAACAAGAGGCCGATTTAAGGTACGAAAGGAAGACTTTCCTTACATTTAGGGAAAAGTAGAATTGTGTTTCAGTTGGTTCAGCTGCATTTGCTAGAACAGAAGCATTACCTGATGCCTTGTGAAAACCCACTTGGTTCTTTGCTTTTGCAGATAATCTCTGTTCCTCCTGAAGTGGCCAACAGACGCGATGTGAAGCAGAGGAGCTGGAGCAGCGCTGCCTCCCCGGCACACCCTGTAGAATACAATGGGGACCACGTTCAGGAGTCCATGACTGCCTCCACGACAATTGGCCGTTTCTCTGTGGTCAGCACTGAAGATGACATTACACAGAGGACACGCTGCAGCCGCTACTCTGCCCCGCCTGATTTCTACCTGGACACACCTCCTTCCATGGCCAAGCGGGGCTCCCTGCCTCGCACCCTGACCTCGCCCTCTGTCCCTGTGGATGTCACAGTACATGCTCGCTTCCTCTCATCCGACTCGGGGGCCGAGAGCAGCCCTGCAAAGCTGGCTCCCGCCACCCCGTCTCAACATACTCGCTCTGAGCGCAGAGGAAGTGACCTCATGAAGAGGGCTGTGGCCTTCCTCCGTCGCTCAGGGCGCAGCAGCAGTGTGCAGAGCTCTGACTCACCAAGTAGGCATGGAGGCGTGCACGGCTCCGCCTATGCCAGCAGTGACAATGACTCAGAGATGGAGGACTCGGACATGAAGAAGGAACTACAGAGACTCAGGGAGAAGTAAGTGTAGCCAGTGGTTTACTTTTGAGCTCATTTAGTGTTTTTACATGAAAATGTTTTGTTAGTTAGTTTTTAAGTGACCAGTCTATTCCTGCCTTCATCCCCTCAGACATCTTAGGGAGATCTCTGAGCTTCAGGCCCATCAGCGGGGGGAAGTGGAGCTGCTGTATCGACGGCTTGGCAAGCCTCCTCCTCCTGGCCTGGGTCTCTCACATGTTGCACCACACGCTGGCCGTAGAAAGAGGTCCAGCAAGCACAGACTGAAGCCTGGCAAACTTCTCAGCCCTCTGGTGCAACAATTTAGAAATGTCACAACCAAATCTAGTGACTCCAGCAGATCCAGTGAGTTCCTTTTCAGAATATCCAGTATAATATGTTGAATATTTACAGTAAGAACAGGGAGTATACCGTTCTGATGCTTGTGTGTGTGTGTGTGTGTGTGTGTGTGTGTGTGTGTGTGTGTGTGTGTGCTCAGGTGCTGCTACAGGTACAGGTGAGCCCACAGTGAGTTTAAATGGCTCTCCAGCCAAAGGGTCTTTCCCCACTCACAGCAGGGCTCGCTCATGCACCAGCCACCTTCCCAGCTCCACCTCAGAGCCCGTGCAAACTCAGCAGCCCTGTTCCCTCAAGGGCTCTTTGTCTTCTGATAATATTTACGCTGGACTACATAGAGACGGCACTGGCACACAAGCTCCACCTGGACAAGGTGACCACCAGCGACACACAACAGAGCATCTTAGCTGAACAGTTCCCACTAATACTAGACTGTAAAGTTCTTTGTGGTGTTTTGTTTAATAAGGTTGGATATTTCAATGTGTGCTCTTTTTACCCTCCTCTGCAGGCTGGGCTAATTACCCTCAAACATCTGAGAGAGTGACCTATAAATCGAGTAGCAAGCCACGGGCTAGATTTCTCAGTGGGCCTGTGTCTTTGTCTATCTGTTTGTATCTCTTCTCTTCCCGCATAGCTTCATTTTTTTGTTTTCCATCATTATTATATATTTCTCTACTTTTAAGCTCACTGGATTTTCTTTTGCTTCGCCTCGTCCTCATCACTTGCCTTTATCATGTATGCACAGAAATAGATTGCTTATTCAAACCCCCAAGGAGTAAATTTTGTGTTGAAGAAGTAAATATTTTGATTGATTCAATGATTATTTTATTTTAAACAAACATGTCTCTAAACAAAGGAAGAACAAGACTTTTGCCCAATACAATATCGAATCATTTTTATTCATCATTCCTGTTTGTTGGACCAGTTGTTTGAGGTTTGAATAACCAAGGTTAATTTTAATAGTAATTGGCATTATCTCACATTTCAATTGTCTCCTATGATGCTTGTGCTGTTTATCAACCTTATAACATTTTTTTGACTTATGCACCCCACATTACTAGGCAATGGACTTCTGCATGCCACATGCGCCTCTGCTATAACATTTCTAATATCTCTCCTCTTTCTTATCTCTGTCTTTCTAACACTCTAACACTGCACTTTGATATGGTTCCCAGCTGGACCACTTGCATGATTTTGCTAATAAATGCACTGTCTTGTTTCAGGGGACTGATTGTTAATTGTTTACCTGTTTGTTAGTTTGGTTTTAGTTTGGTCCTTTTTTTCTGTGTCAGTATTGAGCAGCTTTGTTTTGCACTACATCCAGTTACTAAACATTTTTACAAGCTAATGTGAATGGTCTTTGTATAAAGTCTTTTATATGTTATAGGGTCAACACTGAAGCGACTGTGTCTTGGCAAAGAGCGTGGCAACAGTATGTAGAATTATGAGGTCTCACTACAAATGAATTAATTCAAAATCATGTTAATGTATATTAGGCTAATCAGTCTGGCTGTCCTCCTAGGGTCTGGAGCTGGACCAGGGGCTTTCAATCAATCCCAGCAGCCGCCTACTGGTGCCACACCTCCTTCTCATCAGCCAGTGATGGGACTGGCCCAAGCTCAGGCCAATAACAGCAACAACAAGACAGGCACATACACTGGCACATCCATTAGTGCCACTGAAAACACCCTACCTGAAGACTTGCAACGGCTGATGGATGACTGGGCCCAGGAGGTTCTTATTGTCACCCACAGGCCACGCACTAACTCTCTGAGCATCAGCGGGCAGCAGCTTTGGGATCAAGTTGTGCCTCGAACACATGGACAACTGATTAGTGCTTTAGATGTGAGTTTCATGCTAGTTATGTACTTATTTGTATTCAGAAACAAAATTACTAAAATCTTAGCTAACATTTTTAGCACCGCACTAACAGGAAGACTTGCACCATCATACTGAAAGGAAATAATAGTTAATCTACTAAATATCACAATGCAAACAGCAAAAAGTAACATGTGCAGGGTAATGTAATTGATGAAATAGAAGACAAATAACAACAATAACTAAATAATAAGTCAAACAAATAGGAACTGTTTAGTTTTGAGTGTGCTACTGGATAGCAATTCCACAATACATCCTATTTGGTTTGTGTATTTACCTACATAATTGATTGTATTGTATGTCGTGGAAATTGTATATTGCTGCTGAGGGATTGAGTAAATAATTGAGTTACAACAAACCGTTGTCTTTGAAGAATTTATTAATAAAAGAGAATAACAGAGAAGTACTACAACACAAAATTAGTTGGTCCCGAGTCCCAGTGCAAAGGGATGCATAATCATTTACACAGTCTAAGAGAAACAATTTTCTGCCATTACATTGTAAACATTCAGTTAATCATTGTTGTGAAGTTTAATATTTGCCCAATGTCTAACCCTTTTAGGTATCATCATGGACAGCCCCAGGTCCAGAGGTCAGCAGTTTCCCCCTGTCATGGCCTGACAGCCCTGGGTCAACAATGATGACCAGCCCCTCCGCCGGGCCCCGTCCCAGTTATCAGCTTCACTCTCCTACTCCATTCAGGGCCTTGTCCTCACCTCTCTCCGTTAGTGGGTTTCTCTTCCCCCTTCCTTCAGGAGTCTTTGCCTTTCCTGCTGTACCCTCAGCCCAGGACGGCCCCGGCCCCACTGCAGCTCCATCATATCAGCCACCAGACCCCAAAGCCAGGACTCTCTAATTTGAGTAGCATTGTGTCTTCCAGTTCTGTTACCAAAAAGAAATCTCATCATAGGTCTAGTCAGTCTTATGTGCATATACTGTATATATTTAACCAGCATGTATTTAACCATATGTACATACTTGTCTCCATTCTTGAGTTATTTGTTTGATGTGCATCGACATACCTCAAGTCCATATTACAGTACATAATCCCTGAGTGCAGTGTAATGGTAGTATTACATTAAAATGTGTATAATTAGCCCAATCAGACTTAAAAGTGCAGACTTTTGTCATTGCATATGTAAGTACCTTACCACTCATCGAATGTACATAATGTACTGTTCATTCATGCTGTGTTTCTATAAAAAGTTCATGTTTGTGTTGCTCATATCACCTCTATATATAAGCTGCCGTGTGTATATAGGGATTCTTGTTAGTCTGTACATAGCTCCTGTGTTTATACAGTTAACATTAGAAAACCCATAGGTTGGTGCTGCAGGTATGTGTCTTAATGCAACACCTTATTTACCACCATCATGCCATCACTGTGAAGACTTGACATTCTGGTCACTAGGACCGGTTGCTTTACTCTGTTCTCTCAGTCCAAGGATAGGTTTCATTCTTCATCGATGAAATGCTTCCAGCACAAGCGCTTGAAATATCCTTAAGAGATTTGAATGAACTTGAACTTTATCTTCAGGCAAACAAAACGCCTGTGAGAGTGCCTTGAATTGCAGTTTCAATTTTATGAAGAAAAGCATTTAGAATCAAAGCAGACACTAGGTATTCTATATATGCCTTCACCTTAAAGGGTAATTTGAATTTAATTTGAATAATGAATGTGGAACGAAACATATTTAGTTTAGCGACAAAACGTGATTAAACACTATAATCTGGTTCATAAAATTTCACAGATTGTAAACAAATCTTGTACACAGAAGTCATTTCCTTGTGGGATTGCTCCACCACCTGCACCACCGCCTGCATGAATACACTGATATTCTGAATGTGCACAGGTTGATGTGGTGAGTTTCAGGAGGATATTGTTAAAGGAAACTGGCATTGAAACCATACGACAAGGAGGGCTGAAGGACTCAACATATGAGTCAAAATCATAATCATACCTAATGCAATCTGTAGCTTTACATATTGTTGCCTTTATGGTTTTAAGAGATTACTGTGTGGTTGGTTGTTGTGTGATAAGTGATGATATGACGATGTTAGAGGCACAGGAAGAATGTGAATTATTGAGAAGCCACAACTGTTTGACATGTTATTTGTACAAGGCCACAGGTTTTCTAAATTATGTTTATTAGATGCAGGCCTCACAGTTGTCATCTGGCTCATACAGCTCATTGTATGTATTATGGCTAACTTAATTCAAAGATCTCCAACAAATATTACGCTGCCACGGTTTGGCATCAATAACAACACTTTCGCTATTTCGCAAATTCTTCAATACTTATTTCTCTTTTATAACTTCTAGAATTCCCTCTGGAGAATAGATTGTTGAATGCATCAGTGTTTTAATGTATTCTGCAAAAACAAAGAAGTGGTGAAAATCTAAGTACTGAAGATGTAGGCTGGGCATAATGAGTCAGACAGTTCTTCATAACTGAGAGAGCTTTTACAGAAAACTGTCTCGTTCCCAGCACATAGCCATTTCAATTGCTATTTCAGTTGAAGGGGTAAGTGATTTATTGCTCTTCCTACACTTGGGGGACTCACAAAAGACAGATTTAGAAAAGATCAGGCCAAAATATTACAGCAGAGGCCCAATTATCCTGACTTTTAGTCCTGAGTATGGATAAAGCTCCAGAAACACTGGAACCTACATTTCCCATAATGCAACTCAGTAGCATATTTGACATCTTCAGGGGTTATTTAGTAGACAAAGTAGTACTCCTTGTGATGAGTAAACTGAACTCTATGTGTAAATGCCCCTTTAAAATCTTTCTGTATTTGCATAATGTGAATAATGTTTTGATTTAAACTAAATATTTGTCTTAAAGACAGAAATTCTTCCATGATGATGTTTTTATTTTTGTTGAGAACATCTCCTATGCAGCTGTTTTCTTTGTGCTTTCTACAGTAGCTCCTGTCTATCTCTTTAATGCTTGCAATGAAAGTGTGGTGTATGATTGCTTTTACCTGCTGTATCACCTCTTTTCCCTGTAATTTCCTGGCCTCATCAGATTGGTACTCTTTCACAAAAGCTGTACATACTTGAAGACATAAATAAAACAATCATTTTTGCTTGACACCATACAATATTAGTTATCTCTTTCACTTTATACACCAACATTGTGTGTGTTTGTATGAAAAGCTTTCAGAGTGGCAACATAGGCTGGACACTCGACAGTAAAAGCTCACATACCAGTAATTAAATTCCTGATACATTTCTGCTTTTTTATCCTGTCAGGGCAATTTCTGCTAGCTATGTGTGTGATTCCTGGCAATATGGGAAACATTTGTGTGTGTATGTGTGAGTGGGTGGGAGTGTATTTTTTGAGTGTGTGTGTTTTTGTCACAGGTGCAACAGAGTTGCTGAAAGACGAGAGAGAGTTTGCCCTGCAAAATGCACCTGGATGATTTCATCGTTACACAAGTTTAACTGGAAGACATGTTGCATTTCTTGCAAATATTTCATTGTTAGATCTCTTTAATGCATGCAATGAAAGTTTGGTGTATGATTGCTTTTGCCTGCTGTATCAACTGTTTTCCTCGCCATTTCCTGACCTCATCAGATTGGTAGTCTTTAAAAAAAAGCTGTTCCTACTTGAAGACAGAAATAATAAATTCATCAACATATTTGTCATCCATGTTTGCATTAAAAGCTTTCATTGTGGTAACAAAATCCTGGCAAAGTGAGGCTGGAGACTCTGAGTGAACAGTAAAGCTGACATAAGCAGTTGAATTTCTCATAAGTTTCTGCTGTCTTAACCTGTCATGACAATATTTCTGTAAAATGTGTTTGTATGTGGAGGAGGCAGGACTGGATTGGTAATCTGGCATACCGGGCAAATGCCCTGTGGGCCGACGCACCTTTGGGGCTGGTGTAATGTAAATTATTCATTTAATTTTTATTTATAACTGTTTTTTAAAAATAATAATAATAATAATAATAATCTTTATTTGTAGAGCACTTTTCAAAAACAAATTACAAAGTGCTTTAACAAGTGTAAAGACAATAATACAAAAACAATACAAGATAAAAGCAAGAAAACATTGAAAAGACTAAAATACATGTTTAAGATAAATATAAAATAAGTAAAATAGAATAAAATAAAAGGGATAAAATAAAGTCAAATAAGATCGGGAAAGGCTCTCCTATAAAAGTATGTTTTAAGAAGGGACTTAAAAGAGTTCACTGACTCAGTCGACCTGATTTCCTCGGGCAGGCTGTTCCAGAGCCTCGGGGCCCTGACAGCAAACGCTCTGTCCCCTTTAGTTTTCAGTCGAGACTCTGGAACAGACAACAGACCTCTGCCCGAGGATCTCAAGGTACGTGCTGGTGTGTATGGGACTAAAAGGTCAGAAATATAACAAGGCGAGAGGCCATGAAGAGCTTTAAAAGTAATCAATAGAATTTTAAAGTCAATTCTAAAACATACTGGGAGCCAGTGTAATGAAGCTAAAATAGGAGTAATGTGGTCATATTTCTTTGTTCTGGTTAAAAGCCTGGCAGCTGAGTTCTGGACAGTCTGGAGTCGATCAATAGATTTTTGGGTTAAACAAGTGAAAAGGCTGTTGCAATAATCCAGGCGTGATGAAATAAAGGCGTGTAAAATGGTCTCGGTGTCCTTAAAAGTTAACATAGATCAAATTTTTGCTATATTTCTAAGTTGATAAAAACATGATTGAACAAGCTTTGTGGTGTGCTGCTCGAAATTTAAATTACAATCACACCAAACACCAAGGTTCTTTGCCACAGGCTTAATGTGATTTACTAGGGAACCAGCAGATGGCAGTATTTGTTTTGCCATCTGCTGGGAATCAATGACCAGGATTTCTGTTTTGTCTGAGTTCAGCTGGAGGAAATTATTTGACATCCATTTTTTTACTTCACAAAGGCAGTTGTTAAGTGAACTCAGTCTGTCTAACATGATGTTGTGATCAATGGTGTTAAAAGCAGCGCCATGGTCTAGGAATACCGGGACTGAGCACATACCTTCAGCAGACATTAAAAGGTCATTGGTGACATTAAGCAGGGCAGTCTCAGAAACTTTTCAAATTATTGAAAAGATTATTGTTATTTTCCAGTACAGTGAGCAGCTTTTTGGACACAATTCTTTATGGGCCAACGACCGGCCCATAAAGCACGGCCAGCGGCCCATTGGGTGATTTTCTATACTGACACTGGGCCGGCCCAATCAGATCTCTTACTAGCCCCCACCCCCTCTGCTCTCTGCCCCCACCCCAAAAAAAACCTTCAGATGTAGGCTGCCAAATGCGCAAAAACAACCAATATGTTTGCTACCGGGGCTACAGTAGCTTCAACATCAGCTGCAGTACCCTGTGTAGAACAGGCACAGGCACTTGAAAGAGTAAAGGAGAGCTGTGGCCATAGGCAGAAATCACGGTGGGGACAGGGGGGACATGTCCCCCCCATCTGAGGGGTATCCCCCCCTTAAAAACCATCAAATAATATAATGGTATATACTTAAAACAACTGTGTAAACAGTAAAACAATACAAACGCAAACAGGGCAACTGAAGTGCTTTTTAAGTTTAGAAACATTTTGAGTCACCCCTCTCTTGCCCCACAGTGGTTTGGTCCATTGCCTGCTTTCCCTCTTACAGAAGGCCAAATAGTCAGTAGTTGTGGAGCTCCAGTAATGTTAAGCAGGCTGGAAGGACTGTTTTATGCACTTTAAACATTGGAGCCCACTCTGTTATTATATCATTACCTAGCTTATTTGGTAGCTTGTTGAACAGCTAGAGATGCACAGATTGATCAGCTGGGGACTGAAATAAGCCGTTTATTTTCGCTTACTCGGCCATGACCAGTAACCAGGGCCGAGCATTGTCAAATATCCAATTTTCTGCCGGTCACATTGAACATTACCATCAGGCTGCGTTGCGCTGTGTTTCACATGTGTGCACAGACAGTAACCTCATGTCACAGCCACAGTCACACATGCTAAAACATGTCTTAGGTGTGTGGAAGTTATTCATGAGAGTGAAGAAGACGCAACGCTCACTACATCTGCAGAGAAACACAAAGAAAGAGACGCTGTGGATATTGTAAAGCAGGGAGCAGGTAAAGAAATAGTGAACACAGCTGTTGGTGACGATGTCATTTAGACCACGGTGGTCTCTATCGGTAATTAACATCAAGCCTCCTCCACACGCGGCTCATCTGCTGCTGTGAAAACAGAATCGCGGGTC